TTTTTAATATCCTTTACGTAATATCAAGTGGAACTCTTAAAATGAAAAAAGAATGCAAAGGTTGATGGTAAAATATTCTCGGAATAAAATTTGAAAATTTTCGATTTTTTTGTGTGGGCCGATTCCTAGCTCGATTTCAGTAAAAAAACCGCTCATTTAAAAAAACAACGAAAAAAAAAAATAGTCTTCTGGGAAAAAACGCGTTGAAAGAATGTTCTGAAGCTTGCACAAAACAAATAATTTGGTCCAAACCTTCATCCCATTTCGGAAAAGTTTTCCAGTCCCATCATATCAGATAACCTAAGTGGAGTCCCTTTAAAAGACGTTTTGAATAAGTTTGACACGTATGTCATGTACATTTTATGATTTAAAAACTTGTTTAAATATGTAATGTAATGATAACGAGCTCGTACTGGCTTCGTATAAAGCTTCGGGCACGAGCGGATAAGTGTTATTCCATGGACCGTCTGAAAAGCTAACTAATGTAAAGAATTCTGAAAAAAAGCTGGCGAGATCCCAAGCCAAAACTAAAGTAAATGACAAAAAATTTAAAGAAACCAATAGCGGACATTCGCCAATACGTTTTCTTTATATTATTACTCTATCATTAGCGTTGAATTGTTTAATCCTGATCACGCTAAATATCTTAAAAAGAAATTTTTTTATCATAACCTTTTAATTTATTATTAACCAAAATTTTTTTTGTAGTTAAATGAAAATCAGATAAATACTGACTGAAAACAAACAGTGGTTTGGGACTTTGGGGTAGATTTTAAATAAATGGAAAATTTTATCGATATATTTTTTTATCGTGGGACCTAAATTCCCCGGGGACAGTAAAACAAAGTTTTTTATAAAGGGTGCCCCGGGGCCGGAAATTCATCATCGAAACATTCATTTGAATGGTTTTTTATGACGTCATCGTATGCAACGGGGCCGGGCATCTTTATAAGTAAGTAGTTAGGATCAGCCAATATTGCTTTTTGTATTAATAATTGTACAAAATAAATTTGAAACCTAAAACTCAGTTTTTGCCTTATCCTTTAAAAAAGGGCAGATGTCAAAAAAAATAGTTTTTAAACATTTGCGTTCATCGTAATGTAGTAAAGCGTGCTGCGACCCAATTTCAAAACATAACGATATAGATGGTGTATGAAGAATTTTGTATAAAAAAACAAAGTTTTTATAATTTGTTGCTATTCAAGTGGATTGGTTTTAAAAGGGTCATATTTTTTCCAACATTTGAAAAAACAATAAATATTTTTTTTTCCGTATTTTTTTAAAATTTCTTAAAAAAAATGCTTAAAAAGTTAAAGTGATCTGGTATAAAAATTTGATGATAATAATTATTAATAATTTTTTGTCAAAGTATAAGTGTCTGCGGGTTAAGCTTCCATTTTGGACCATGTTTTTTCCCCCTAACCAAAAAACAACATCCATATATGGGTTTTGGCTGTCATGTTGTTTGTAAAATCTGCACGGTTTTGCGGTCTATGGGAAAGTCCTGTGAATGCGATAAGGAAAGACTCAATATGATATTTCCCCTTACATTAGACGGGGAGGTCTAAAAGCCCCGGACTAAAAACGGTTTTTTCATGGTACCGGGGAAAACAAGTTGCCTGGTGGGGCGAAAAAGAAACAAGGCAAAACTGTAAACAGACTATTAAAATTTCAAAAGCTTTAAAAATCCCCAAAAATTTTTTTTTAACGAACGTTATGTATGCATTGGGTGATTGAAATTTAATCAAAAATATGTAAAATTTTTGCAAATTAAAGTGTCCCCTGTGCTTTCGGTTTACTCCTATTAATTAATAGAGTTCCCCTTAAATTTAAGTTGACTTTTAGGGTTCAAACACATGACACAAAAGATATGTCATTTGGGATTTTCCAAAAATACCTTGTGTTTTTTTAAGGCGGGGCAATATTATAATAAACAATATATTTATGAAAATATTATAAACAAAATATAGAAACAAACTGAAATCAATTTAACATTATAATTTTATTCTACAGTTTAAAAGCCACATTTTATTTCTAAATACATAAATGCATTAGTTATTAGTTCTAACTGGAAAGACAGTCTTCCCATGTCCAAAAAAATATAGCTCGAATGTTTTATAAAATGTATGAATATTGCAGTGTTTTATGTAAAGTATCACAGATTTTAGTAAATATTTTGACATTTGAAAATAAAAAATGATAGGTTAATAAGTAAAATGAAACAAAACGTGTACCCTGTAATAAAAATTTTGCAAATGTTACATATATGTTACATGATTTGAGTACATGTCATAAATCAATAATGTAATGAGTTAAAGTCAAGTAAGTAAAATTCTGTTTGTTTAGTAATTGTATAATATGTCTAGTAAATGATTGGTATACCAAAAAGGTTTTTTTGCGATACTAGAATTTTTAATGTTTTGATAAAGGTTTATCAATGAATATTTCATGAAAATATATCAGTTTTAACTACTTCAAAAAGTCTTGAAAGTATTTTTTTATCATTTTTTTTTTAAATCACTAGTTTTGTGGAGTCAGTTAGTATATACAATTTTATCATAGATAAATGTTCATGAGTTTTCTTTGTTGAATGATAACACATGACGTCACAAATATGACGATATAACCACATTCTTGTAAGCAATATAAAGCTAAGAATTACTTCCATGCATTCAATCCATCTCACGATATTTATGGTCACCTGAAAATTTGTATAAATATCAAAATATAATTTTGTCTTTGCAATAATTAATCATCAAAGTGCCCAAGTTTGTGTTGATGTGTAAATGTGAAAATATGAACTGTTGTATTTAATCGTCACCATCGTCATCGTCTTCGTCATCGCTCGGTACTTCAACATCGTCATCGGGGTCTCCTCTTCAGTAGGGGAATTTGACATCCTCCGGTATTTCTATCTCTAATGGCTCAAATTCAGCTGAAGAACAACAACATTACTTACTATTTCAACTGTAATCCTTCAAAAATGTTTGACAATACCATTCTATAGATTGTTCTATACACTTTGTATGACTTGCAACGCTTGTTTTAGACTTTTTAGACCCTATAAATTATACGCATGTAGATATATACATATATAGTTAAAGGTATGTTTCCAAAACATTTTGATATGGAAGATCTAAAGCAATTTTTCCGATATTTTCGTATAAATATGATGATCAATTGATAAAACATATGCATGAAAATATGTAGTACACTCTTGTATATGTCCAGAATATTGTAGTTTTTTAATATAAAGATTTAAATTTCCTTCGAAAAAAGGTATTAATTATACATCCAAATACCTTATTAATTCATGAACATTATGTAAAAGTTAAGTTTGTACTCGTGGCAAATGATGGCATATCTATACACGTGAAACAATATTTGTCAATGGAGCGAAATTTAGGTTTTATTGATATAAGATTATGTGCTGGGATTAACAAATACATGTAGATCTATACAATCTATTTGGATTTCAAGACGTTTTGAGCTCCACACAAGGTGTCCGTATAAAAGTGCCACACAACGGGTTTTGCCAAAGGAAGCTCTATTTTGACGAAAAAATATTCACTCTTGAAAACGTTTTCTACAGTACTGTAAATGTTTGTGTTTGTTGTTTATTACTTTACTCCATGTCGCAAACCAAAATTTACTGATTTTATGCGTCAGTCTTTATCATAAAGTTGCTTATACGTTATGCCCTTTTCTTAAGTAAAATATAGCATTTTTACATATTGATTCATAGTTAGTGTCGTTCTGATAGTATTATTAATGCAATAAAAAATAATTATTTGAAATTAAATAAGATATCGGATTACTTAATTTTGAGTTGCTTGTCCTTAAAAATGATATAAAAAAGAGAAAATCTCGCTTTCAGGGGCAGATAAGTTAAAAATTAACATGAGGAAGCCAATTTCTTGCATAAATTTGTTTACATTATGATATTTATTTAACAAATTGCAAAATTTCAGAACATTCTTTGAACTTGTTTAATATTTCATTATTTTTATGTCAAATTTGCAGACTGTAATTTTAGACTTTAAATGTTGATGAAAAATAAAGATAGACCCCTAGAATTCTGTACTTGTATCAAAATTGAAAATTTTAAAAAACCCGTACTTAATGAAATTTTTTGAAATACGGGTGTATAAAGGTATTTTTCCCTTACCTTTGGGACGAAAAAAAGTTTTGGGAATTTTCCCTTTAAAAACTAAATATTTGACCCCTCTTTATGCCAATGTTTTTCCCATAAAAATCCCTTTTTGGGTGCCCCTCGTCGTCGTGTAAAAAAATGCCCGCATCCACCCCAAAAAGCTTTTTCGGATATCTGTGAAAAAGAAATGAAATTCATAACGCAAATTATGAACTTAAATAATTTTAAACCAGGGGGTTTTAATTTTTTTCCTGCTGTTTTTTTTTGGGGGAAACGGGGGTTTTTTAATAAATATCAACCCCTTGGGCGACTTTTTAATTTTAAAGGTTAAGTGGTGTTTCAATCCTCGTTGCCACAAAGGGTTTATTTTTTTAAAGTAAGGCGTTTTCCCCTGTAAAATTGCTTACCCAATAAAAGAATTAAAATCCTGAAGGGAAAAAAAACCCAAAACCCCCCGGATGGGGGGGGGCCAAATTTTGGGGTTTATCAAATTTACCCCGGCCGTTCAAAATCAAATTTTGATCATTAAATTTATAAAAAACTCAAAATTTTTTGGGAATTTTATTATCAAATTTTGAAAAAAAATAGGGGTTTTCAAAAGAAATTTAAAAGGTTCTTCCCTTTTTTATCAAGCGAAAATTTTTTGGGAAATTTAAATTAAAAATTTTTTAACTTGTTTTCCGTTTTAAATCAAGCGAAAAATTTTTCAATTTAAATTACTTTTTTTTAAAAAACCCCGCTAGCCTTTTATCAACGAAAAAATTTGTTGAAATTAAATTTAATTTTTAAATTTAAAAAAGGGTTCCCGTTTTTTTAAAGCGGGAAAAAGTCTCAGCTTAATTAGAGGTTACTTAAAAAAGCTGCTTACCGTCTTGTCAAGCGAGAATGTAGCAACTTGTTTATAAGTTGTCTTTTCCCACAGTCGAATGCAGTCTTCCTCGTTAAAACTGCCGTATGTAAGAATGTATGGAGATTTTTCGTGCAGCTGTAATCTGACTGACGTAGTATGTCCCTCCAATCTATGCAGCAATTTTCCTGAAAATAAATGTCCAAACATGCATCAGGCTTTACTGGTAAATATCAGCAAATACAGATGAAAAACAGGATTTTTAAAAAATATATCAACATTATCAATTTTTATTATCATCTTTACCACTATTATTAACATCATCATCATCAAAAGTATTATAATCATCATCATTATTGTTATTACCGTCATCAAAACCATTACCACTATTCTCCATTTAAGCATCAGAAAAATCATATTAATTATCATTATCACCATCATAATCATCACCATCAACATGTTTTTAATCATCATCGTTTTCATCATCATTACCATAATCGTCATAATCATCATTTTTATTGTCATAATTGTCTTTATCATTATAATTGTCATTCCTATTATCTACTTTATCATCATCAATACCATCATCATCATCTTCACCATTATCATTACCATTATTTTCACTTATAACACAGCTTGCCGTCTTATCAAGGGAGACTGTTGCACCTTAACTATAGGTTCCAAAGTCAACATAATCATTGTCATCATAATAATTATCATCATTATCATTTTCAGCAATTATTATTGTGATAATTATCAATCTACATTTACCAGTGTCCAAATCATATACTCGAAGAATGTTATCAAAATTCAGTGTGATCATCCGGCGATCGTCAAGTTGACAAAGCTCTTCCACCGATGTTGTATCGTCCATGTTTTTCAGTGCCTTATATTTTTGTTGATATACACTGTCGTACATTCTAAACAACTCTTTTTCTAAATATCAATAAAAGACATTGTTTTCGGTCGTTAGTGGTAAAATAGAAGGCAATAAGAAAAAGCGACAGAAAGGAAAGAAAAACAACAAAGAAGAAAATAGAGCCTGAAGAAAGTTGCAATAAAAAAGAAAAGAGTGGCAACAAAGCAAAAACAAGTGGCTAAAAAGGAAAAAGTGGCAACAAAGAAGAATGAAAATGTTGAAAAGGAAAAAGTGGCAACAAATCAAAGTCAAGTGGCTGTAAAGGAAAAACGTGACAACAAAGAAGAAAAGAGTGGAAACAAAGAGGAAAAACTGGCTGGAAAGACAAAGTGACTACGAAAATGTAACAAGTGGCTGAAAAGAAAAAAGTGAAAACAAAGAAGAAAAGAATGGCAACAAAGGAGAAAAGAATGGCGACAAAGAATAAACAAGTGGCTGAAAAGAAAACAAGCGACAACAAAGCAGAAACAAGAGGTTAAAAAGATAAATGTGACAACAAAGATAAAACCTGAGGCTGAAAAGAATAAAGTGCCAACAAAGAAGAAAAGAGTGGAAACAAAGAGGAAAAAGTGGCTGGAAAGACAAAGAGACTTCTGAATTGTAACAAATGGCTGAAAAGAAAAAAGTGAAAACAAAGAATAAACAAGTGGCGAAAAAGAAAAAGGTTGCAACAAAGAAGAAAAGAATGGCAACAAAGGAGAAAAGAATGGCGACAAAGAATAAACAAGTGGCTGAAAAGAAAACAAGCGACAACAAATCAGAAACAAGAGGTTAAAAGGATAAATGTGACAACAAAGATGAAACCTGAGACTGAAAAGAATAAAGTGCCAACAAAGAAGAAAAGAGTGGCAAAAAGAAGAAAAAAGGTGTACGCATTTTGCAATGATTACTTGAACTTGACATATACCTATCAATTCATTGCTTTTTGTATGCCAACATTAATATTATCATTATGTTGGACCATAATTCCTGAGCATTTATGCATAAGAATGTAAACATTTTTTTTTATAAATTCTTATATATTGCAGATACCCTTTAATTATTATAATTAAAACACAGATCAATAGAAACAGTATAAAACAGGCATGGCATTATTAGAATAGAATATCTTGTTATTAATTCAAAAAAATTGTCTTGCAACCTTTACAATTAGAAAACAAGAGCCACCGCCTGACGGGGCAACTCTCGACTTTTAACCTTTCCTAAATACAAACAAACGTTTTAAACAAATCTTTACAATAAAATATAAGAAAAAAAGTATTTTTTCCTTTCATAATTTTAGTAGGTCTGTATTGTCACACTTGTTATTTTGTCCAAGTATGAATCCTGTCCATAAATAAATGACAAAGTTAAGAAAATATAATCAAAATTTGATCATTTTACAGACAAGGTCATTTAAAGGTCTAAGTCATATCTAAATTATTGCACATGTCTGTTTGGTTACAAGTGTTGTTCTGCTGTAACATATGAATCAAATCCTTACATTAATAATAAAATTATGAGAACTTTAACAAAATTCAATACTTTGACCTTGATGATCAAGGTCATTTAAAAGTCAAGGTCAGTTCAACCATTATAAATGTCATGTCCAAATGGTTGTCTCGTCCAAATATGAAAATAATTCATTCATGATTGATTAATTACAAAGTTAGAGTCAATTTTAGCAAAAATCAGTTGGAAAAAAATAAGTTGACCTTCAAGGTCATAATGAGTCAAGGTCAATTTGAGTTTCATATAAATAAGGGTCCTGACCTAAAAATTGTGGTCTCTTAAACAGAATTTAATTCATTTCTAGACCTTGACAATCACGGTCAATTTAGGCTCAAAGTCACATCTAGATAATCCAATAATTTTGTTTGGTAGAAAGTCAAGTTTTGTCGAAGTATAAATCAAACCATACATAAATGAAAATATATGAAATTTAACCAAAATTCAATAACTGGACCTAGACAGTCAATGTCATTTAAATCTTAAGGTAACTTTATGAAGAACTTGCTTAAAAGGTTGTTTTGTCAAAGTCTGATTGATTAATTTCCAAGTTACAGTCAATTGTAGCAAAAATCAGTGAAAATTCGATAATTTATCCATCAATGTCATTGGATAGCCAAGGTCAGTTTGAGTTTAATATTCACAAAGGCTTTACCCTAAAAAACATTTTATTATAATATCAAGTAAATCCATTCAATAATAACAAAGTTATAGCCAGTTATAGCAACAACAAAAAGTGAAAAATTCTTTAAGGTCGATGTCATTCATGAATAAAAGTCAAAGTCTACTAAAAGTCTGGTCTACTTAAAGTTCTTGTCCTAAGGGTTGATGTTGCCAAGTATGAAGACAATGCACAAGGAACTTAAAAAGTTATGATCAATGTACAAGTTTGCGGACGACAAACAGGAACGAAATGACTGTAACAATACCTTTATTTTTTCACAAAAAAGTCGAGCTAAATTAAATCAGTTGCGTCCTTTTAATTTGCATTGGTGATTGGATTGTAATAACTGTTTCTATGAGTCATTTGGTTTTGTGAACAGGAATTTGGCGATTTATGAATACAGTTTCTTTGATACGGGTTTCTTTGCATCGATTTATAAACCGAATTATATATTTCTTTCAGCCGATATTTGAATTCAATTTAAGAATACATGCAATTTCATAGCGCAGATTTATGTTTTTTCTTCCAAAACGGTTTTATTTCTTTGGTAGCGATTCACGAAAAAGTGATTTCTTTGTGCCGACTGATTATACGATTATATGAATAAATAATGAGAAATTATACAAACTGTTTTGTATGTCCCAAACTACGAGATGATCAACACTGTCCCCTTTTGTCATATTAGGTAACATGCCCTCCGTGCTGAAAATAAGTCGTGTACCTTCAGCATTTATCCACTTATACACCCCGAAAAACTCGTCGTAATCGGGTTCTACAAACATAAATAATTGATATTTTCATAAAATGCTGATAAATTTGATTCTAAAAAAACATATTTTTGTAAATACTGTAAATATTCAAATGACCAATACAAGGGAGTAAAATATGATAATTAAGATCTTCAGCCAATCACGCGTAAAGAAATTGCTACGTCAATATACAGGGTAGTAATTTATACCAGCGATGTAAGAAACAAAGTGAAAAATAGACTCCATACACAAAGGTTATGATTTTTGTTTTCAATTTGAAATAATTTCAATTAATTACAATTAATTTTAAATTGAGATTGATTTACTTATGGCGTGTAAAATAAAGTAAAACTTACTTGAAGGAATGGTATACATCACTTTTTGGTCCACAAGATCATATAGAATAAGCGGCCCTTCATCAGTCGATGCGCACGCAACTGTTCCTGTGCTATTCACCTGCAAACGTTATGAACAAACTTTTGTTTGGATTATACTTCTCATACTATTATGGCAAAAATACTGACGAAGTACACCTTACTCTGCCTCTTCTATTCTTAACAATGACTTGCAAAATATACATTATTGGGCAAAATCGTGGTTAATCGATTTCAATCCCAATAAGACAGAATCCATGATATTCTCGCGCAAAAAAACAAACCTCCTCACCCTGACTTAAAAATGAACGACACCACAATCAAAAATTTCGATGAACATAAAAATTTAGGCATAACTTTTCAAAATGATGGAAAATGGCACTTTCATATCTCGTCAGTTGTTATCAGTGCTTGGAAACGTATTGGAATATTTAGAGCATTCAAATTCATTCTAAACAGAGTCTGTCTTACAAAACTTTATTTTACTTTCATACGACCACTGTTAGAATATAGTGATGTTGTCTGGGATAACTGTAACAATTACGAAAAACAAAAGATCGAATCTGTTCAAATAGAAGCAGCGTGTATTATCACGGGAGCGACTAAACTTTGCAGCATTGAAAAACTTTTTAACGAAACTAAGTGGGAAACCTTAGCAACTCGCAGGAAAAAACATAAACTAATAACATTTTACAAAATGAAAAACCACATTACACCAAACTACTTATCAAACATAATCCCTGAACAAACACAAAATAGATACCAATTACGAAACTTCAATAACATACCAATCGTAAACTCTAGAACTCAACTATATCAAGATTCTTTTCTTCCCTCTGTCATCCGTGACTGGCACAATTTATCCGATGAAATTAAATTAAGTTCAACCTTAGAAATCTTGAAATCAAAATTGAATGGCCAACTTAAAAAGCCCCCATTATATTATCTCACTGGTGATAGAAAAGCACAAATACTTCACACTCGTTTACGTCTAGGATGTAGTTCGTTAAATCACGATCTCTTTCGCAAATCTATTGTTAACGACTCACACTGTTTCTGTGGTAACATTGAAACTGTAAATCATTATCTTCTTTCTTGTCCAAACTTTCAAGTTCAAAGAAATACTTTCTTTGAAAACCTACAGTGTCCTTTCACTGTTCAAAATTTACTATAGGGCTCCGAACATCTCAACTTTGAACATAACACAAATATCTTTAGTTGCGTCCAAAAATACATTGTCGCCACCAAACGTTTCACTGCTTAGTGCTGGTGCATGTTACAGAACGACTTCATAAGCAGGTTTTATACATTATACTAAGTTAACTGTTTTATCGGTAGCAAACAACTCAGTTCCACACCACTGGAACCTTTATTTTACTTTTCAAAATCTCAAAACATTACATATTATTTTGACCAGTCAGTCGTCATCCTTTCCAACCCACTGAGGAAATGAATTTACATAAGTCTTGGACTTGTTTTCAAATCCTCTTCCGAATTTCAATAAGTTAAATATTCTTTAGCATTGTATATCTTTAACTTATATCGTCAGTCTTTTATGTATTTTATTATACAATGTATTCTGTTTGTAATGTATATTTATGTTTTGTAAATTCTGGAAATAAATATTGTTTAAACTAAGTAAACCTTGGGTCATGTAGGTAGCCTTCATTGGATACCTTCGAGAAACACAGATACACATTTTATATTTAGCGTCATGATAGAAATGGATACTTTTTGTTAGCTAGCTGGATAGCTTCATCCGATGAAACAATTCGACATCACTGGCGAGGTTCAAACTCAAAGTAATAGACACAAGCACAAAATTTTTATAGCTGCTTCTGTTGTTGTTGTTGTTTGTTTTTTTGTTTTGTTGTTGTTTTGTTGTTTTTTGTTGTCGTTGGGGTTTTTTTCTCATTATTTTTTGCATCTTCATGTGTGATGTAAACAAACACTTCTTAACTTTCAATGAAAACTCTCTTTAGTACCACGAAAATTGTTTCAGAACTAATATTAAGAGAAGAGTGTGACGAAATTCATTGAATATTATTTATATATAAGATGTAGCAAAATTTATGCAAACTTTCTGAATAACCTTCTTTATATTACTTACTACAAACGACTCTACATCCATAGTCTGGCCCGCTTTTAAGACGCACACCACCTTACCCGTACTGAGGTCATAGATTTTAAGGTTTTTGCTTGCCTTTGTATGACAAATTAGTTCTGAAAAAGTGAAAATATTACATACATTCTATAACCTATAGTATTACTTTTTTTTCCTCGTATAACTTTCATAAAACGAACAGGTCAAAAATCGCCCATCCCTATACTTTAATTAACATTTAGATTCACAGAAATTCAGAAACAAGAATACCGTATGCAGGGGTAACGCTCGTATCGGAATATATTTTTTAAATAAATATCCTCAATTGATAAAGGGTGTAACTTCTAAAATAATGCCTTCAGGGTAATGCCCCTTTGTTGAAAATCAAGTGTTCCAAGTTTCATATCGATAGCTTGAATTATTTTGAAATCACAATACTAAATAAACGATTTTGAAAAAAGAAATCTTAGTTATTAAGGGGCATAACTCCAAAAATGTTTCTTTCAGAATAATTGTCCATTGTCTTACAACTGTTCCTTATCATGATAAAAAAAAGTTCCAAGTTTCATGCTGATACCATTCTTAGCTTTGAAATCACACTACTGAACATTCTATGCAAAAATTCGTAGGTAATGAGGGGCATAACTCCTAAATCTTTCAGCATTATGCCTCTCGATTACAACTACATCATATCGTGCGTATTAAGTAAATGTATTACTCTAAGTTTCGTGTTGACCACTTTAAAAATATTCGAAAAAAAAGACTGAATTATAGATCCTGTATGTTGTAATTAGGGTTGTGACCAAACTTGAGAGAAATTTTATATATCTATATGATTATGCTTACAAACTAATTTCCTCACATTGAAGAATATGTAAAATATGTACTGCAAATATATGTCCAAATTATATCTAATAATTAAAAAATATGCATTCATTTGTTATGGAAAATTTTCACTAAGACTTTATAAAATAAATTTCTAATTACCTCCCTTTATTAAAAATTATCACAAATAATGCTTTTTGGAACATACAATATTGATAAATTTTCATTTAAGCATTATGTTTATGATAAAAAACATTTAAAAATTGAGTGACAGGATCTTTAAAGATTTGAAACATTTTAAACAATCGAGCTAAAATTGATTATCGTCATCTTGATTTGTGTTATGTGATGAGTGGGGATTTACGTTGCACCAGGACAAACGTGAAGGAAGAACTCGGATGCCCCTCCGCGCATTATTTCAGACAGGAACAGGCGCCTGTACACAACCATCGACGTTCAATAAGCTGACTGGACAGCTGCCTCACTTGAAATAATCCAGTTAAGGAAGGGAGCGGGCGGGGAAGTGATTTAAAATCAACGGCTTTAGCCACTCAGCCACGGACACCCGTGATTAATGTAACAGTGAGTAGAGAACTTACGATTTCGTGGCGTGTATATAAAATCGCTCTTATATTTTCCTGTGAAGCCTTGAAGTTTTGTCTCTATATCCATAGTATTCAAATTGAAGACAAATAGTTTTCTATTCAGCAATACCAAAACCCTTGTCGCATCAATCTGATATACTTTGCAGCGTTTGTTATTGAATTCCACCTTAAATATAGTAAAAAAAAATATTTTCCAATTTTTCTTTTTATAAAAACTTTTGTTCTGCATGTACATTGTATATAAATGGTGAGATGTAGTAAGATATTAATGATACATTTTACCGTCGAATCTCGCTTTCCAAGGTTGCTTCATTTTAACTTAAAAAACTGTTAATTGGTCATGAAATAAAACACTGTGTGTACTATACGAAAGGTAAAACAATCTGTGTGGTGATTTTCAAATTGTAAGTTCACTGATATATTTATATTAAAAAGCGGTCAGTCTTACTTGATTATTATCAAATAAGCTAAAATCATATTTATAAATATTTACCATTGTTCGAATTTTGATAAACTTGTCCGTGATGCAATCATAAACGCCAAACAGTCTATCTGATGAGCCCTTCTTAGCTGCTGTACCGTCTACGAATATGTATCTTGTAGGTTCCAATGACCAAATTTGCCTGTAAATCAGTTCGAAAAAAAAAATACAAAGGTATCGACCCTGATTTTTATTTTAAGATATTTATGCAACAATTCGTTCATGATGTATAATTTTATACCAAGTGGGCCTCTTAAACCGAAATGTACATAAATCATATGTTGGAATAACTTCAAAGTCGGTTTATTGGACTGAAATGTATTGACGTCATATGTTGGAATAACTTTCAAGTCGGTTTAATGGACTTGAACCAACTTACATCATATGTTGGAATCACTTTCAAGTCGGTTAAATGGACTTAAATCAACTTACTTTATATATTGGAATCAATTTCAAGTCGGTTTATTGGATTTATCAAGTTACGTCATAATGTTTGAATCACTTTCAAGTTGGTTTATTGGACTTAAATCAACTTTTATCATATGTTGGAATCACTTTCAAGTCGGTTTATTCGACTTAAATAAACTAACGTCATATATGGAAATCTCTTCCTGACGTCTTACGTAGAACATGTAGTTCTTGTGGTCCTTTTCCCCTGGCTAAGTTAAGCATAAATACGGGTGACAACTTAATACCATAAAAATGTTGTGCAGGGCTGATATTTCATTTTTATATATAATTCGTGCAAGAAATTTATACCTTCGTAAACGTAGAACTGCAATGCTGAGGGCATACGCAATATATCCAGTAGACCCAATGTAAAGCTTATGCGATTGTTATTTTTAGTAGGCTCTGTTTTTTATTCCTAGTTCCTCATTTAGTTTACATTATTCCAAAACTATTTCTAAATATAAACCCGCATCAGCAATGTGAAAAATATATCTTCATTTTAGGTAAATCATTAAGGTAAAGTGAGCAATTTAAGAGTATCATGGAGTGCTAGAGGTAACTGACACTGCCGAAGCGACCAGTGCAGACCATGAACTTCCGTAACAACTCTGTGGTCTACTCAGGGTCTTCACTGATCGCTTTTCAGTCAATACATATTTAGAAATTCTACGTAAAAATGATCCATGGTTTTCTCCTGATTGAAAGATAGACACATTCATTTATAATATTATCGTTGTAAGGGTAAAGAACCATAATTATAATCTCACATTAGCATCTTTATCTTTTGGGAAAAATTATTGTCCACGCTGTCAGTAGTAGTTTGTTTGCTTCTTGTCCGGTCCCAGATTCGTAAATTACTGTCATCAGCCACAGAGACCACCGTTTTCATGTCTACCGTTTTTGCTGCTACCAAATCTTTACTATGATCTAGCACGTCGACTTCCTGTAATTAGACAACAGCAAAATGACGTCATTTAATATTTATTCATTTCATTTTATTTATTCCCTTTTATACCTTTGTTTAACCAACAAATAAAAACTGTTTGGGAAAATTTCGTCAAAACCTCAACTCTGTTAAATGTCATAGTATATGACGACATTTCTTCGAGTATTGCTGATATAGCTCGTGTAAATTTTTTTAAACAGAGGCAGGCACGTGAGTAGAACTGCTGACCTTCTGTAAGATAGTTAAATAGCCTCTATAACAAATCACTCTTTTGAAGACAAAACTGTGTAGGGACAAGAGCTTCAAAGTAAAAAAAATATCTGAAAACAAGGTGATCCCTCAGAAGCATTAATCACAAAATAATTACATGAAAATTGCAAGCTCGGTTTGATTCAGTCTGTACATGAGGGAAAGTGATTAAGTGCAACAGCCCTCATGCTCCCTAGCACCGACTTGTCCGGTATTCAATTTTTAACACTTAATAGTGCTGGCATCAATGATAAAGGACCAGAAAATTATAACAACACTGAAGTACGGGGCAACTTTTTACACCTGCCACAAAGCACTTGGCACCTGCTGTTGTGAAGTATAAAACTCTGGAAACAAAGTGAGCCCTTGGAGTGAGCCCATTAATCACAACAAAATTACATGAAAATTGCAGATAAGATGTCGTAACCAGTAGGACACCCTTAAGTAGAAGCAGTGTAGAAGTGTAATTTGTGTCATTTGAAACTAATAAAAATCAAATGAAATTTGATATTGCAATTAATCAAATGAACTGATTACTTATGCATATATTATTTTATGAAATCTTACATCTAAAGTGGCAGTGTTGAAGAAAATAAGATGATTTGAATCCTGGACATAGAAATGTTTCCCATCTGGTGTAAAATCTAAACTTCTAAATGTCCGGTCAGCATTCTCTGAAACCATAAATTATTTTCAAAAATCATTACCGTCTTATTGATTGTTCTGAAAATCTGACATTTTTCGACGATTATTTTTAAATTCGGGCGCCATTTTGATTGCAGACAGCGCATGCGCAAAAAACTAACATCCGCACTTATTACAGTAAATAGTGAAAACCTGAAATAGTTCGCCGTTTTATACTTCTAATAACACTTTTAGCAATTAATGCAAAAATGAAACTTATAATTTACCGTTTAATTTCGCTAAGTTACTCTTCAATTTGGCTCAGCATGAAACATGGAAGAATTTACACTTAAAGCTATACTTAGAATTACAATGTAAGCGGAGAATTAGTCTATACCTGGCACATTTTTTATTTTGTTTCCATGGAAATCAGCAAATATGATTTCACTGGTAAACATAGTGGTATATGCTAGATGGGTTTCATCGGGATGTATGGAAATTGCCTCAACTTCGTGCTCTTCTTCTTCACCATCCTCGTCATAGATTATCTCAAAACCTCGGAACTTTTTCATGAAGGTCATGGATTTAAGGTCAAGGACGGTGATAAATTGTTGATCTGAATCGGTCACGGCAACAAAGTTCTCTGTACCTGTATATCATAGGGTAGTTATCATCAATAAATGATACATGAATAAATACTGGTTGTTGTTTTTAATCTTCAATATTTAACCAAATTAAAAAGTCAAGCTCACTAATATTGTAAGATAATGTTAAAGATTCTGTAACACAATTTTTGTTATGGTTGCATATCATAAATATAATACTCGAATGTAGATTTATCATTATTGTGTGTTCCAAAAAAAGCATTATTTTTAAAGATATTACCGAATTTACATTTTCATGTTAATAAAAAGAGCTAATTAGAAATTTATTTTCTAAAAAGTCTAAGTCAAATTTTTCAATAAGAAATAAATGCATAAATTTTTATGATTACATTTCATGGGAACAAATATTTGCAGAACATATTTTACATATTCTTCGATGATTGAAAATTGTTTTAGAAGCATAATTTATATATACATATATAAAATTTCACTTAAGAGTGGTAACAACCCCACCTTTCCGTTTCTCGGAAAAATTATACATTATAACAATTTTTAGCACATACCTTCAGCTAAGCTGATGCTTCCAAATTTCACTTTTTCTGGATGTAACAAAGGCTTGATAATCTTCCCGTTGTCATGGAGATCATATATAAAGCAGGTAGTTTGTGTGAATGCCAACAGTAAACACTTGTCCTTCCCAGCAACACATATGCTTGTATTGGCTGTAGTTCCAGGTAGATTGACAGTGCAATATAACTTTCCTGAAGAAATAACATATAATATAAGATCCTAAGATAACACATTTTTTATGTTTTTTTATTAAAAATATGATGCTAAAATTAAGATTTATAATCAATTCACGTATTCTTATCAATTCCCTTACACTATCGATTCCAATATGTTACCATTCCTTAATTCAATCAACTTCCCGATTCTTATGATTTACCTTATTAAATCGATTTCCTAATTCTACCAATTCCCTAATTCTTACCAATCTTTCCTTTTTCCAGTCCTCAATATATGATCTTAGTGGATTATTTATTTATTTAAGAGTATTGAGATTATCTAATTGCTGTCCTTAACCTTAAATAAATCATGCCGATTCTCTATTTCTGTAGATTATTTTCTACATTTCGATATGCTCATCGTTGTCCATTTCTTAGTCCATGTCGATTAACCAATCGTTGTCGATGTCCATAGTTAGTGTCGATTAATCAAACGTTGTAGGTTTCCTAGTCAATGTCGATTAACCAATCGTTGCTGATTCCCTAGTCAGGGTCGATTAACCAATCGTTGTCGATGTCCATAGTCAGTGTCGATTAACCAGTCGTTGGCGATTCCCGTAGTAAGTGTCGATTAACCAATCGGTGCCGATTCCCTAGTCAGTGTCGATTAAACAATCGTTGTCGTTTCCCTAGTCAGTGTCGATTGACAAATCGTTGTCAATTCCGTAGTCAGTGTCAATTGATAGATCGTTGTCGATTTCCTAGTCGGTGTCGATTAAACAATCGTTGTCGTTTCCCTAGTCAGTGTCGATTGACTAATTGTTGTCAATTCCGTAGTCAGTGTCAATTGAAAGATCGTTGTCGATTTCCTAGTCAGTGTCGATTAAACAATCGTTGTCGCTTCCCTAGTCAGTGTCGATTGATAAATCGTTGTCGATTCCTAGTCAGTGTCGATTAACCTATCGTTGTCGATTTCCTATTCCTTTCGACACTAATCATCTAATCCTCGTCAATTGCCTAGTCAGTTCGATCATTTTAAATATGCCGATTCTCTTATTTATGCAAGTTCTCTGATAAATATAAAATTCACATCTATGTTTACCTTACAAATGACAAATACTCGTACATCACACCTTTCAATTTCCATATTCCTACCGTGTCGAATCCAAAATTCCTATCAATTTCCTGTAGATAACTATTCTTGATTATCAACATTATTTTGCATCAAATCGACACATTTTTGCTGATCCTTTCAATCTATTCTGGTTGTTTAAGTGCTGCCGCAGCAATGTACCGATGTACCGACGCTAAATATTACCAAAATAAAGACATGTGTTTATATCTATCACAATGAAAACTAGTAATTAGAAAATTTGCAGACTGACCTGTTTCAACTTCCTCCACAGAAACAGTCTTATCCATTTCACAAGCTATCAATTTGTCACCGCAACAAAACAGAGCTTTCGTGCACTGTTTCTTTCCCAAAACTTTCCGCTTATGTTGTCCTGTTTTTATATCCCACAGACTTATTTCATGGTCACTCTGACAAACTGAAATAGAAGAGAAAAATTATTTAATCGGTTTTCGACCGAAAACTGTCTGACTTTACATGCCGCCCTCCTGTGAAATACACAGGAAAGAAATAAATTAAGATCTTCATTGGTCATTTTTAACCCTTCATCCTCAAAAAGCATCCGAATGATGCAAAACGAGGTACCTTTTACTATAATCACTTGCAAGCGCGTCAGTTTTTGGAGCGATTGTGCAAACACAATTGCTCCAATGTTAACAATACGGGACAAATTCTGAAATGCCAAACAATCGTAACTCTATCTTTGTCACGTTCGAACTGAAAACAAAGAAACGTGTAGTACACCCTCTAATTCCAAAATGATAGATCAGCGACTCTACTTCACGAATAGTATTCAAAAGACTCAAGGGAGAAAATCCGCCCATGAGAACAATTAGTCTGGATTACCCGCCCCTTTCTGCTGACACAGAAGGCTCCACGGTACACGACGGGAACAATAAAAATGATGGACAGGACACCAGACTTTGCAATCATTCGTTGTTAATAGCTCACTAACAGGAAATATTAACTCACCAGTGACAACAAGATTGCCATCTTTGGTAATATCCATCATGTCGATGTCAGATTTGTGAGCTGCTACACAATGAATAAGCTGTCCCCCTGGTCTCTCAAGGATTCTTTCTTCCGGTTCTATAAAGGTTTTCTGATATGCTCTACATTGAGCTATGAACTCTTTGTTTACCTGTAACACCGACAATAACCATCTCATTGTAGCAATTACCCATCTGACATGATGGAACAAAAGATTGATTTTTTTTCTCCTTAAAGCTGCATGCCTCCAGATGAGCCAAAATATATTACGGTAGAATATCATTCAATAATGCCCTCAAATTTAAAATTTACGTCCCTTCGAACACATGCATCTAAAGCATTGAAACATTGTCTAGCGGTTTTATGAGCATATACATTGAACTTATTTATTATGCAATGCATTTGTCAATCACAGACAAACTTAGAATAAAAATAATGCGCTAACGTAAAGTTTCTAACAGAATTGCATCATACCATGGCCTCACATTTAATCAAAACAATAAAAAAATGGCAATTCAATTTAAAAAGTTACATCATTTTCCTCCAATCTCCCAAGAAGTTGAGGGACAATCTGTCCGGGGTCAATAACCAGACCATTCTGAGATAACAACATGGAATCATATATCATCTTGATCAGCTGATTGTCGGGAAATGCTTCAATCGCCGAGACAAAATCATTCAACGTTGCTCTGTTAATAATGAAATGAACTTAAGAAATACATAACAAAAGATATATTTTTATTTTTTTATTTTTCAAAACAAAATAATAAAAGAACTTGTTTGGAATCAAAAATCATTAACGACCGGGCAAGATCTGACGAGGTACCCGGTATAAAGACAATGTTGATTTTAATATAAAATTGATGTCACATCTTAATATATTCGGAAAGCAAAAGTTGTATTTACTTATGCTCAAAACAAACATTTTTTTCAGAGAATGCCTTGATTTTACTTACGCGCACTGCTATTTATTATGCAATGCAACATAGCATATAACAAATGTAGATCTTAGCAACAAGTAAAATAAAAAAAAAACTCACGTCAGAGGCATGGCTCCGATTTTCGACAGTAAAAAGTAAACGTTAGCAAGACATTGCTGTTCTAGAAGTTTTCCATCACCAGCTTGAATTCTGTGATAAGGGAGGTTACTGAGGGCGCGAATATTGTAGTCCTCCCCAAACTTCAGAGGCTGAGCGGACACGTGACGATCTTCTTCACCTGTCTGCCCACTAGATGTTGTAAAAGGCTTTTTGGTACCTGATTAAGTATTTAACAAAGCATACTATTCATATAATAGCTCATGTGTTAAGAAAAATTGTATTCTTACAGCTTATCACTCACAAAATTCTAAAAAACATTTTTTTATTTTATCTATACATCTTACATTTCAAACTGCTCTTGGGGACACACGTGAGCACACGTCAAACCAATGTATGTGACTTAAAGATTAAAAAATAATGCATGAGTATTAAACAAAAATCAAATTAATGTTCCAAAAGAACGGCTCTATAATTTTTTTTTTGGAAAAACCCAAAATTAAGTTGGAGTTCGAGAGATATCTCCAAGGAAAACGTATATTGTAGATGTAAATTTATCATTTAAGGTACCAATAAAGACAATATCACCATCTTTCATCAATTTTGGTCATAAATTTATTACCGTTAGCCCAGGTTCCGTTGAAGAAGTCAGCCAGATTTGAATGGATGACTTTATTTTGTTCAGGATCCGAGCAATAACGTGCTTCGGCAGCCTCCGTAAACTGTCGATGATACCAGTATAGTACTCGTGTCCCATCTGCCCCTCTCTCAACTGAAATATCACATAATTCTGCCCAGTTTTTACTCATTACACGTTACTCATAATATAATAACTTTTTTTAAAATAAGACTTCCTTGTATAAATATATTTTAAAACCTTAGTTAAATTAAGGAAAGCAAAACTGGCTTCCTTGGGTCAGAAGCCAATTTCATTTAGGTCAAATCCTACCTAACGCTTCACTACTTTTTACTAAGCTTAGTAACGGAGTGAAACGATGTAGAAGCTGTTCTGGGATTCTTCGGCCAATATCCACAATAATTCACGGAGGGCACTTCTAGTTTTCTTCCACCAATAAAAGCTGATAAGTCACCATATGAAATCTATATTAGTCCCGACTTAAAATGTACTGCCAATTCGTTCTTAACATAGGGCCTTTAACGACGAACGTGAAAGTGCCGTTAAAATATTGTTTTTGTTTTTGTTTTATCCAAAACAATCAAAGCTGAATTTAAAGAAACAAATAGTAAAACTACATACCTAAATACTGACTAAGGTCATTCCTAACTCTTACAATTAGTAAGGGAGGTAATCTCCGCATTGGAGGTGTCCAATACATGTACACGTCATTGAGCACGTCATCATCACACGACAAAATGTCCTCGAGCTCAGCTTCGGAAGCTCCGTTGCGCGCTAAAATGAATATACGTGTAAAATCTGACCTATAAATCTAGTCATGTCAAATATGGTTTTAAAAAGGTTTTCTAAACGAACAAAGAAAGTGTTTTTAGATAATAAGTCATTAATCTCTGTCAGTAGATTTCTTTATATAGATAAAAGATCTAGATCTACATGTATATTATCGATACGTTTGAAGTCAGTGGTAAGCTTGTAACTTTTATACAGACTGGAACTCCATACTTTAATACTGAACAACACTTAGATCAAGTAAATCAGTGTGGCGACTTTTTACGGCCGCCACATAACGAACCTCAACTGATGTGATGTCAGTTGTGTCATATACAAGCTTTATAATTTAAGTATCTTCAGTAAATTAGCTCTGCTTATTATAGCTAGTAGGTTTAATATTGCTTCGTTTTTTCAAAAACTATTATAAAAACATTATTAACATCTACAGCTTGATTAAAACAAAGGGTTGATGTTAATTACCTAAAGTAAGATAAGAGAGCGCTCTCGTTACAAGAATTTTCCCGTGCATCTTCTCCAATTTTTCGAACAAATGTTCAATGCTTTCTCGTACAGTAGATTGTAGCACGGTTTTCTCGAGCGGATAAAATGATGTCCAAGTTGTACTTTCCTCGAACGATAGCTATAAAAACAAGATTGATTTTTTTTTACTTCATTATTTAATTTTATGATTTTCGATGCTAAAATAATATGAGATATAAGTCATTTCACACTCTCTGTAACTAAATGAAATGTATAATCATTGAAGCATGGTGGATTTTTAAAGATATTCATGGCGTCACGGCCACGTCAAAAGTAAATATAGTTTGACGCCATTCAAAACATTTTGGTTATGTCCGATTAGTTTTTAACAGCAGAAATAGAATAGTGATTAAAAACTTAAAAAAATAATGTTAAAATATCCTTGTTAACAACAAAAATATGTAGTAGACACCTTAGATCACCATTCGCACCATTATGCAATGCCAGTTATATCAACATACAGCGCGGATGTACCTATTACCGAACACTTAACCGAGATTTTTACATTGTTCGGAATTAAGTGCATGATCGAATTGAGGTACACCCGCTAATAATGCACAAAGTGTTAATAAGAAAAGTTATAAATTGTTTATTTTACACAACCAAAGCAATAAAAGTTTAACTTACTTTCAGGAAAAGAGGGGTAGGACATTTCTCAAAACCTTTCAATATCACTTGTGTCTGTTCGTCTGTCAGTTTTCTATTTCGCATTTCTAGCCACTTATTAAGAATGCTTTTCACACTTGTTGTTTCAAGCACTGGGACCTCCAATAAATTTTCTGGTGCGGTGATGACTGACTGTGTAAGACAAAAAAAACAGTTTTAAACAATTGTCTACACAAATGTAAAACTTTTTTTGTAACAGTTTTTGAAGAATGATAAATATATATCACTTCTTATTGTAGTCAAATTTTGTTTCTTTGAGAATAATAAATGTATATCATTTCTTATTGTAGTCAAATTTTGTTTCTTTGAGATACTAAAATCGAAGAGTATAAGTTTCTATAGTTTGTATCTTTTTGTTTATTTACATTTTATTATTTTTATTATTATTATTATTTTATTATTATTATTATTATTATTATTATTATTATTATTATTATTATTATTGTGTGTGTGCGTGTGCGTTTGTTGTGACCAATCACCAATCGACGCTCCGAACACATGTGGAAACAAAAACAGTTTCTATAAGCTGTACAAGACCTAAAGTATATGTACTTTCTTTAAAATTACTTTTTTGTTCGTTAATTGGTTTTTAGATAAAGAATTAAGGTTCATCAAACCTTTTGGACTTCGGACATCGCAACTAAAACAATTTGTTAAAAAGGTGATAAGAAAGTTGCTTTGTGTCATTGAATATAAGCCAGACTTGTTTTATACATGTTATGATGTATATATGTATTTAGAAAACAGAAGAATATAATTGTACGTATAGACACTGCTCAATGGACGGTATGTTAGCACCGATAAATTGGTGATTCACAATAAGTAAGGGGCCTCCGTGGCCAAACACGAACACTTGTATAAATTGGCAATATAACTACCTGCAATGCTGGGAAACACTGGTAAATTGGCTCCGGTAATGTTGAAAGAATCACTTTCGTTGTGGCTGTTAATTTGGGAAGCAACCAGGTCATTTGTCTAGCATTGTAGGCGTGGTCTAGCTGGTCAAGAGAATCCAGGATCAGTACCAGAGGCAGGTTAGGACGACTCTTCAACATCATCAATTTAAAGTCACTTATCTGTACCGTTATGTTCTAAAGCAGCCAAAAATATAAACATGCTTGTCAACATTTATTAAGTTTACTACTGAATGAAAATACCGACGGAATAAATGCGTGATTAAGCAAATTGTGGCGATAATGTTAATAAAAGGTCAATGCCATAATAAAGGGTCAGTGTCATAATGATCTATTTATTTCTTACATGTTAATTCTCGAAATCGATAAAGTTACCAACTCAGTATTGGTTTTAAAGCGGTTAAAATTAGAAACCGCACCACTTTCAAAATTGTGAAAGCTCGTTTTAAAGTTCACGAGAAAGTGACAACCTATTGGTGGTCATCAGATCCTATTGCGAAGCGTTATTGAGGAGCTGATTTTAATCAGGTCGTGGTATCCGACATCTCTCTGGCATGATAAACTGTCAAATTACATTGTCTTGTAAAATAATTCAAACAAACTGTCTAATATGTCTTCCCAAACAAAGCAAAAAATGGAAAACATTTTAACAAACCTGTGTTCTTGGTAACGGTTTAAGATTATAGACCCGTCGTATTTGACAGCATATGCTATAAAGCAGCGACATTAGATCAGAACTGTCTGGGGATGTTCCCAAAAATCTACAAAACAAAAGAGTAAAATGTATTTGAAATAGCAATTGTGAAGCAATGTCAGTCGTGCTATATGCTATGGATAACATGGTCAGATAGCGTAACACATATATGCATGTATATTAAAAATGTTAATAGTTATCTTGAAAACATTTAACTCGAATGGTAAGAGTACAAATCCTCCTGTTCCGATTCGAGTATTGGTGTCATAGGAAAAATACTAAAGCCTAGCAGCACAAAAATGTTTAATCATCGGGCAAGCGATTCTTGCCTTTATATTGCTTCCGCCAGACCACTAAAACCTTGCGTTCGGACGCAGATACTTTTAAACTATCCTCCGTTTCAAACACACAACACCTGTGTTGAGACACACACAATGTTAACCAGGTGCAAAGCATTATCTTTCGTAAGTAGAATCGCGCGTCCTGTGTTGAGATGAAGAATGCTTTAAACATGAGAACAGCGCTACCCTTTCTTATTACCTCAAAATGATAACAGGCGGTTTACTCATCCACGACCTAACCATCTCAGCTGCTTTGGCGAGTATGGAGGTTTTTCCGGTACCACTGGTTCCGTGTAACACTAGCGGCTGGTTCCCTCCTGCACCGGAACCTGTCACGTAGCTTTTGATTTTCTGTAAATATTCAAAACCAATCTTAATTTAATAATAAGCTAAGAAATCAACGGAGAGGAAATCAATCATTAAAAATAAAGTAAATACAATGTAATGTAATGTGTTTTCGCGACTAAGTAGATATGATTGATTTGAGATAAAATCACTCTCAGAAAATAGTACTATCTTGCCAGAGGTTTCATGACTTAGTAACATTTCCTTGCACTCATTAAATAAGAAAGTCAGATGAAATAAGGTTTCATGACACATATTTTGTTTGTACGTGAAAATCTGAAAATCGTGCAGTAAACACAATCATTCATTTTACCTCTAATGTTTCTTCTCTACCGGTAAAGCCTTCGCATTTGGATTGACAGAATCGAATGTGTTGAAGGCACTCCTCTATCAGAGTGTCAGTGACTTTATCTTTTTCTGCTACAGACTTTTCCACCATGCCAATCATGTGCTGTACAAAGTCGTCACATAGTGATTCTAAGTACTTTTTGTGCTCTTCTGACGAATTTGGATCAATACCTTAAAACAACATTAACAATAAAAGGTAATCTATAAATAAACACCCTTAATGATTAGAAAATATTTTGCGAAAAGAATATCTTACTCGTTCTTTTCTAGTAGTCAAGCGAATTTTAAATGCCACCAGAGCAGCTTCTATTGTTATTCTGAAATGAAATACATTGTATTTGAACTCGGAAATTTAATATGTATATCCTAGTATGGAATCAAGTTAAGTCTTGGTTTACAGTGCTCGCACAAATAGAATCTGTTGCCGCCAGCAGACGACATTTTAAAGGTAATGATATAATTTTGAACATGTATACCCTCGGTGTGATTATCAATCTTTTCAGACTTTCAAGAAAAGTTAAAATTAGCCAACCGAAACACTGGAACAAGAAATCCTTGTTTTAAAATAGTCTACAAGTTTTGTGTAAAGACGAGGCCACCATTACAGGTTAGACACAGTGACAATCGTACAAACAAATCGTGTGAAATTGTTTAATTGATATGTATGAGGTGTTTTGGGGGTATTTTGATATGTTTCTTATATTAAATACATAATAACCATATTCATGGCATAGAAATTGAAAAAAAAATCATACAGTCTCTTTTTTTGGCACTACCATTTATGATTTTCCGTTCAAATAGCCACCGGTCCTCTGGCAAAAAAAATGAATACAAGGGACCTCGATTTATTTAAAGTCGTTTCCATTTTAGAACAAAAATACATTTCTTTTTTTAGATAATAACTAGCCATCTATGCTTTAATACTGATGATGATGATGATGATGATGATGATGATAATTAAGACGAATACAATGAAGCTGACGCTGCTGCCGCTAACGATGACGACTTTGATGATAACTGATGATAATTACATTTTTTCCTGCAAATGATATCTCGGACTTAGTGAATTCGGACGGTGAAAAGGGGAAGGGGAAAATAAACCGTACTTTGAAGAATGGTCAAAAGTCAGCACAATTGCCTGAAATATTTGTATTAGTAAGTTGTAACAGGGGAAATAGTTTTATTATTACACTTTTCATACATACCACTTTTAGCTAAAAAGAATAAGATATAAATTAGCATTTTCAATTCAAATAAAGAGGTAGGACTTCACTTACATCATGTTATCATTTTATTCACTTTAAATGATAACTTGTTAAATAAGATGTTCAATTCATCGAGCCTTTATTGCATTGTGATCATATTTAGTTGAAACAATTACTTTTACGGAACAGATTTCAATTTGGCAATATTTGATGCATTTAGGTAAGCAAGGTGTAAATAACTGTTCACTACCCAGTCACCCAGCAAGCATTTAATATTAGGCCAGTGTAGCGAATTTGACCCCATCCTTCCATCCCCTCGTAAAATAATGACCAAAGACAAGATAAGAGACTTCTGTCCACCATACGAGAAGTTAATGAAGATTTGCGAATAAGAATGATTGCGCTATGATGGCCTTGTAAAATACGGGATTAATTATCGTGGCTGATGTATTACACTTGTGCGCGACGAGCCGTGCGCCAGCACGATAAGTAGCCAATTCTTCAATATAAGCCAAGAAATAAGGCGACATGGCTACAACTCGCCGCACGATACCGAGCAGTTTGGCGCGTTTCGCAGACAAGACGAAAAGGTCATGTTGTTGTGTTATCACTAGTGACAATAAAAACGCGCAAAAGTGTAACAAATTTGCCACCTTAGTTAACAGGTTAATAGTATATAAACATATTAAAAATGATTAGGATATAGAACCTTTCTATGTAAAATTGTTTGGCAATCTCACTAACTCCCGGCAGAGCCCAGGACCATCCCGGTAAGTTACCGGGATGATCCGGGACGATCCGGGCTGAAATTATTGTTGCGGTCACACTAACCCCGGCAGCACTACGGTTATTCCCAACTAACCACCCAGGATGCGCTCCGGATCATCCAGGCAGAACCCAGGTGAAGCTACGTTTCATGCCGGTGCTTCCCCGGTCGTTCCCGGATGACGCCGGAAGAGCCCCACTTGACCCAGACAGAGCCCCGTTCGATCCAGGTAGAACCCCGGCAGAGTCCAGGACGATCCAGGTAGAGCCCCGGTAGAACCCCGGTGGAAGGAAAACGCGCGAAAATGATTACATTGATAATTTTTATTCAATATAATATCCACTGTTCCAGGATAATAATTTAAGATGATTTTCTGAAATAATACTTATGCAAGACTGGATAGAAGGGAAATGGGAAGGGTTTTAATACAATCAAGTGCAATCATCGCAAATTGTCGAGATTCTTTTAAATTGAACCGTGTTTTGCCGGGGCTCTACCGGGATCAACCGTAGCTCCATCGTTATCCTCCGGAGCTCTGCCGCTATTCTCCGGGGCTCTGCCGGCATTCACCGGGGCTCTGCCAGCATTCACCGAGGCTCTACCGTAGCTCTACCGGCTATATCATACCCCGGATCATCCCCGGTTTGTGCCGGCAGAGCTACGGTGCTTCCCCGGTCGTTCCCGGCAGAGCTAAGGATGAAGCCGGCAAAGCTATACTACCCGGATCATCCCCGGTTTGTGCCGGCAGAGCTACGGTGCTTCCCCGGTCGTTCCCGGCAGAGCTAAGGATGAAGCCGGCAAAGCTATACTACCCGGAACATCCCGGACCACCCTGGTGATATCCATCCGGGGTCGATGTTCCCGAATCATCCAGGACGTTGCCGGCAGAGTTACGGATGTACCCCGGTTGTTCCCGGTCGTATCCCAGATCACCCCGGACGTCTACCGGGGCTCTGCCGGGATGTAAGTGAGACTGTAGCTTTATGGTACAATAAAGACTATCATCCAACAACATGCGCTTCTAAACAAAAAGGTATGTACAAAATAAATGACAGAAAATTTGAAATGAAGAATTATTCTGTTATCGGAAATTATTTGCATTTTGTTGTTCTCAGTGTTAAACTCACAAAGTGATTGAGTGTTTAGTACTCGTCGAGTTATGTTCAGTGTATGAATATTGCCCAGGGAAAATTGTTCACATTGGTACTGAGCACTGTGTGATAAGTAAAAAGGGAGTAGAAATCAGTGAGTAACCTTTATTTATACAGTGTTTTCACTGCCTCACAGCGCCCGCTCTAAATCTATGCCTATTTTGGAGGCCCCTATATATACAATCTCATTAATGGAAAATAAATGTTGTTGTTTTTTGAGTCACATCTTAATAGTTGCTATAGATGTAAAGTCAAACGTTTTAAACAAAATTCTTATTAAACAATTGCCAATAGCTGTGTTATTTATTGCTCGGGCGGTAAATTCGTTCTTTTGGCCGAAATTAGGTGAAAACATTTATAAGTGTCTAACAATTTCTTACATTATTATAGGACCGTATTAACAGAAAACTGTGATAGGACCGTACGAACAAAAAACTGTAATCAAAGATGACGTTTTCTGTCAAGAATCGTAAAGAATGCTATAATTCTGGTCGGTAATATATTTTGAATTTGGCAAAATGAAGGATACTTAACTTTGAGTTAACAACTAAAACAAAGACAAACCACATAAAAAGTCAGTCAATGTAAAAACGTGAAAACTGCAACAAAGACTTAACAAATACTTAACAAATAGTTATATAACTTTGCATCAAAGACATCAAAGAAGAGGAAATGAGTAAAGAGCAAAGGTCAAGGTCACATATAAAAGTCAGGGAAAATGTAGCGTTTTTCGGTTTTTGCACCAATTCCGCCTTTTGTGATGCAGTTCGCATCTTGCAGAATTTGCTGTTAATATAACGTTACTAACGGATTTACGGCTACTTTGCATATTTTGGAAGAGCACGTGATTTACGTGCATATGAATCACATCATGTTTTAGTACGCTTTACATCTCTTTCACAATTGAGAACAGTCATACATTTGCATATAAAAAGAGGAAAAATCAAGACATTCTGCCTTGACTCAATGATCATACAATTGCTGAAATAGAAAAGTGCATTAAGGCTATTTATAACATGCTTTCCATGTTTGTTATAGTGAAACTATTTTTTTTTCAAATTCGCCGGATTATATCTTAATGCGATTGAAAAATATATATACATATGTACAATAAATGAACGAAAATTAAGGCAAATATATTTCCAGCCGTCAATAAAATGTGCATGATTACGGGCATATCATGCTAAAATGTATCAAAATTAATTTACTGATCAATTTTATATGTTTAATTAATTAATTACTTTCTTACTCTATTTATTTATTTATTTATTTATTTATTTATTTATTTAACGATTTGATTTGACGACGTCAAGAAGGTGAGCGAATCACCTTACACGGCAAAACAAACAGACAAAACTGAAAAGCATGAAATAAATATGATTGTATTTGTTCCTGTAACATATACATGTATCACTCGTGAACACCAGCTCTTATATTTTCACTCTTGGCTAAGCCACTCATGAAAATGGTACTAAGAGTGATCGTTGTGGAATATCCTCTTATGTCTCATACAATGGCTAGATTATTAGATTGAAAAAAATCACAGTTAAAATATCAATATTAGTACGGTATAAAACAGGAAAAAATGGTTTTGTAAATGCACTGTCCATACATACCCACTTTATCTAAAATGAATAAGAAACAAATATTATAATCGAATGAAACTTCTCTTAACTATGGCTGGAGCGTTGATTTGGACATATTGCAACCAAATCTTACTTCTGGAGACGATTTGAGCCGTGTCACGACAAAACCAACATAGTGCGTTTGCGACCAGCATGGATCCAGACCAGCCTGCGCATCCGCGCAGTCTGATCAGGATCAATGCTGTTCGCTATCAGTTTCTCTACTTGTATTAAGGGTTTGTAAGCGAACAGCATGGATCCTGATCAGACTGCGCGGATGCGCAGGCTGGTCTGGATCCATGCTGGTCGCAAACCCATTATGTTCGTTTTGTCATGACTCGGCTCATTTGCAACTTCATCATGATTCAATGACATAAGCTTAACGCAATTTTTTCTTAATATCAGACCCGAATAAAGCCGATATCTGTTCCATGCTCGGTAAAATATCGGCTGCAAATACGGATGATATCGGTTCAATATTGGCTGAAAATATCATTTCTCAACGACGGGTGAATGAACCACTTACGCATTTTCTTTAATGAACCACTTACGCATTTTTTTCAAGGTTCGAATCCAACAAGGGAATATGGATCATTATATGATATAAGATTTGATAAAAATCAACCAACTAGAATATTAGCGGTCAATAGGTTTGCTGTTAATTTCTTGCCCGTTTCAGTAATCATGTTCGCCTTTACCACTAGAGAAAAGCGGTTTGAAATAACAATTGAGTAACCCAATGCATATTTTGTTAAAATAAAGGTCCATTAAATCTTTAAAAAAAATGAAATTCGGACATATATTGACCGCTTAAAATAGTATTCATTTGACCTATCATTTTTGCATTACCAGTATCACTCCAGTTGACGCTGTAATTAAGAATTTTTGAAGGGTCTAGTGTTTTTTTCATTTTATCTTCCTTCAATTCCTTCAACATTTGCCTGGCTCTTTGGATCTTCTCTTCTGGACCAGTACATTCTGAAAATATAAAAGAATTATAATCATTTATATATTGTTTGTTTGTTTGTTTGTTTGTTTGTTTGTTTGTTTGTTTGTTTGTTTGTTTGTTTGTTTGTTTGTTTGTTTGTACGTACGTACGTACGTACGTATGTATGTAAGTATGTATGTATGTTCGTTTGTACTGTGCCTATATATCTTTAAAGGTTTACAATATATCTTGACAAATTGCACATAGGTATATTACATATACCTTTATATCTTGACAGTATGCTCTACCTATACATGTATATGTTGACAGATTGGACCGAGGTATCAATTACCTATATATTTTGAGAGATTACACCGAGGTATGCTGCACCTAAATATCTTGACAGATTAACAGATGTATGCTGTATATATCTATCTTGACAGATTAACAGATGTATGCTGTATATATCTATCTTGATAGATTAACAGATGTATGCTGTATATATCTATCTTGACAGATTAACAGATGTATGCTGTATATATCTATCTTGACAGATTAACAGATGTATGCTGTATATATCTATCTTGACATATTAACAGATGTATGCTGTATATATCTATCTTGACATATTAACAGATGTATGCTGTATATATTTATCTTGACAGATTAACAGATGTATGCTGTATATATCTATATTGACAGATTACACTTAGATATACTGTACCCATATATCTTGACAGATTGCATTGAAGTATACATTACATATGTAAGTTAAATATTGCACAAACTATACTGTACCTATATATCTTGACAGAGCGTAGTTGCTTTCTTGTTTCTCAATGTTTTCGATATTTCTATTCAGCCAGAGAAAGTGATCTTTCGCCATATTGGGTTTAAGCCCCTCTTCTGTCTCCGTTTCCGTTACTACAATAATAAATTTAAGTAGAAATTATTATTCCGATATATCCGAATAAATAATGATATTATATGAATTTATATCTATATGCGTCTGCTTTTTATGAACTTTGAGTCAAATAATATTTTTATATCTCCGTGAATACTTTCTTATCAAAACTTTGGCATTACAAGGAAGTAAAGTATACAAATGTTATGAAATTAAATATCGTTTGGTGATATTTTGATGGAAACTTTTCAAAGTATGTGGAAATGAAATCTAGTAGTTAACGTATCTGTTTCTTAACATTAGGATAGTACGTTCGAGCCCTTTTGCATCACAACAATGTTGTTTTTCCTAAATGAGAGAAGCACTGGTAAATTCCAGGAAGCAAACTTAAGATACTAATTGAACATTGCACGCATAAGCCGGTGCAGACTCTTTAATATTTCGTCACAGAAAAATGTACAACAAATGAGATGAACTGCAATGTTCTTATAAAGATACGATTCTATAACCAGAGTTGGTGATTAACTTGAAGCCTGAAATGCTCTTATAAAGATACAATTATATTACCAGAATCGGAGATTAACTTGAAAACTGCAATGCTGTTATTGAGCCACAATTCTATAACCAGAATCGGAGATTAATTTGAAAACTGCAATACTCTTATAAAGACACAATTCTATAACCAGAATCGGAGATTAACTTGAAAACTGCAATACTCTTATAAAGACACAATTCTATAACCAGAATCGGAAATTAACTTGAAAACTGAAATGCTCTTATAAAGATACAATTCTATAACCAGAATCGGAGATTAACATGAAAACTGCAATGTTCTTATAAAGATACAATTTTATGATTAACTTGAATACTGCAATGTCTTCTTATAAAGATACAATTCTATTACCAGAATCGAAAATTAACTTGAAACATGCAACGCTCTTATAAAGAAATAATTCTATTACCAGAATCGGAGATTAACATGAAAACTGCAATGTTCTTATAAAGATACAATTTTATAATTAACTTGAAAACTGCAATGCTGTTATAAAGATACAATTCTATTACCAGAATCGAAGATTAACTTGAAAACTGCAACGCTCTTATAAAGAAATAATTCTATTACCAGAATCGGAGATTAACGTGAAGCCTGCAGTGCTCTTATAAAGAAAGAATTCTATAACCAGAATCGGAGGTTAACTTGAAGTCTGCAATGCTCTTATATAGATAATAATTCTATAATTACCAGACTGAATATATTTTCTGGCAGTTTCCTTATCAAAGACTTTCTTGGCTGTTTCTGACAGGGCTTCTTGCATGATTTGACTCTCTTCCCACCATTTATTCTTTGCTACCTTCTTCTTTTCCTCATCCTCGCTGAGGAAATCAGGTATATGTGTGCTAACGGACAACAGTATATATGCTGGGGGTACAGAGTTATCATCCTTCCTATACCATCTATTTGAAAAAATAGTTTTGATTAACTTTTTCTGTCAAATCGATACAGAAGTGGTAGTGATTATCAGTAAATGTGTTATTTTCAGTTAAAGTGGTTGATGACAATAATTAAAGAAAGAGTCAGAGCGTTTTTAGTCTAACTTCCGATAATCGAACACGCTCATTTGACAGCTTCTTCATGGCAAATAGGCATTTAAAATACATCTATCTACACCCCTTTGAATTCAATCATTTCGTTTATGACAACAGCCAACATTATGGCACAGCGGGATAATTCCGCCTTCCAAGGTGTTAATTTACACCTGGCTAAAGCAGTGTCTTTCAAATAGAAATTGATATTTAAAAAACTCCGGCTGAAGTGAGACAATTTAGAGTGTATATCCTGCCCAAAAAACCTAATGTTTCAGACCCGAATTTAAAACGTTTGGAGCCAAGGACATTCCATATGCTTTTTCACAACGTAAACCTATTACTGTGGACCTCGTTTCAGTCGTCGTATTAAGTTATTGTACTTACTTTTGAAATAGATCTTTTGCTCCTTTATCCTCGACATTGTTAAATATTTTCTCAAATTCTTCAGACTCTATCACTCTTGGGAATGGTGTATATCCGTACTTGTGGGAGAGAAGAGACTGAAAATCAGCAACAATGTATGTATATAATGTTTATGTTATGTCAATATATTTATATAATGTTTTTTATAATGTTATAGATATGTTTATATGCTTATACACTGTATAATGTATTTTATCACTCTTGGGAACGGTGTATATCCGTACTTGTGAGAGAGAGGAGACTGAATATAAGAAGCAATGTATTTGAATGGGTAAGACAGAGGTGTACAACTTATTTAAGAGATTTATAACTTTTTAAGAGGTGTCAAATAATCAAGTTACCTATAGCAACTGCATGCTATTAATAAATTCGTCTATCTCTATTTACTCGGGGGGGGGGGGGGGGGGGGGGGGGAATTTTTGTTTGTTTTTTTTTAATTTGAAAGGGGGGGGGTATTTTTCAATTTAAGTTAATTTTCAATAATTTATTATTATTATTACGTGGGCGGGGTTTTCTTTTGTTGTTGTTTATTCTTATCAAAAAAGGAAAGCGCTTACAACAAAGTTTGGTCCGGTTGAGAGTTTCTGGCACAGTTTCAACTCTTTGAGACAAAGTTCCGTTGTCATGTGATCGTCAGTAGCCTCGTCTCGGATCCCCCACCTCATGTCTACCACTTGGAACTCGTAACCTATTTTCCGGCAATACTCCTTTAGTTTTGGGTAGGCATACTTCATCAACATGTTTCTCTCTTGTTTTGTATCTTAAACAAATTTTACAAAATATACTAAAACCATCATGTGACAGACGGCAACTCTTCGCTTCCGTACTGTGCCATAATGCACGGTTCGGTTTTCGAAAAATGTACAGAACGGAAGCGCAGATTTGTCATCATTTATAGACGTGAAATAACTATTTTAATTATTGAATCATAAGAAAGAAGAACAGCATAAGTGACGATAAATATTAAACTTAATCGCAGATGAAAAATTTAGTTGTAAAACATTTCTTTTATACATAAAATCTTAAATAATGTGACAGAAAAAATAAGGACCTGTAAATGTGCTGCTGGTAAAGATACGGACAATTTTCGCTTGTGACGGACATTCCATGTCAATACGTCCAACAATAGCTTTTGCCTTCAAAGCATCTTTCGGACTGACTTTTGCTTCTTCCTTCTAAAAATTTAAAAAAAGTTATTCTCTAATTTCACTTCCAAATCAGATAAATCTTAAAGCATATTCTAAAATTTTCCCTAAAAAAATTATGACTGGTCTTTTTTTAATCCTAGAAGATAAGACAAAGTGCCGCTTGTCGTTTTCACCACGTGTGCATTTTATTTATTCGTTAATTCATGGCGCAATTTTTTTTCTAACCTGAATGTTCTTATGTATGATCTGTATTATATACAAATTCATACATTTATTCTTTGCTGTAACTTGTCCTCTATTTCAATGATAATGCATAGTTCCTCCAGAGTCAGACCAATATATTCTGACTTTAAAACGTAATGATTAAAAGTCATTATGACGTCACGCTTATTAGACTAAACATTGGGGATAACTTCCTGGTACACGTACATGCATCAGGAAATAGGGCATTGTAACTGCATTGTTATGTAAGTTTAAAGTTTAAACGAATTCATTTTAGTTCGATTATGTTTGCAGCGCTATAAGCTTATTGGTCACTCTCGAATCCGTTCCTGGAACCAACCAGTACAAAGCAATGAATGTTAAGTTTCTATGTCAAGGAATCAACGACTTGCCAAAGACGAGGTTCGAACCCACGCGGTCACTTTGCATGATTTTGTGTGTGTTTCTGTAGATATTTTCCTCTACTACTTAATACATTATCTGATTTTATACAAATACGTAATCAGTTTAATCACAAAATGTGCTATAAATATTTCCCTACCTTTAGCAATAGTGCCATGGTTTCTTTTATTTTCTCCTCTAACTCTTTTGCAAGTTTAGCTTGCTCTGAAAATGAAGTATGTAATAAAACTATATAAGGATGAATATTACGACAACTTATGTATACTTGAATATTAATTATAGACACGTGTTTTAAGTATAAAAGTTAATAACCAGAAGTCCCAGAACGGCAATATTAAAAATGTTGCAGGCTCGCCTTAGTTAAGCCTATTTATGGGCGGTACTAGATTGTGTAAGTCAGTATCCCCGCCCCATAGCACCGACTTTGGAAATGTCTGCAGACGTATACGGCGGTGATCATCGACCCTTCACTCGTTCGTGCCATTCCATGAAAAGCGACGTTTTGTCCCAGAATAGTAGAACGTGTGTTCCCTTAACGAGAAATCAACGGGTGAAACAAAATGATATGTAACTTTAGAAAGGTGGTCATAGATTATGAAGCCTGTATATACACATTAAAGAATTTCCAACATATCATAAGGGTAATAAAATAGTATTCAAGTATCATCAAAGAAGAAAAATCAAGGATCGAAAAAAAAATCGTTAAGCATCGGCTGTTTCAGTTACCTATTTGAAAACACCAGAATAACCTTAAACAAACGCGATGCTTTTGATACTTTAAGTGTAAAAACAAACTTTAGAATAAATATTACCTTCCAGATATATTTTAAATTCGGCTTTCTGTCTGAAAAAAAAAGAGCAAAAATATGTAAAGATCGGATTGAAATCCTTATTTTCAAGAAGCAAGATGTTTCCCATTCAGAACACGTCGTAAATAATTCATAGTCATATCGGAAAAAAGAAGTTTTGAAGGTAGTCCTACCACATCACTTTTGATGTGAGTAAATACAGAGTGTGTGACCCTTGTATAATAAGAAACGAATGAATGTTATGAAAATATGGTCTTTATTGCTGATATGATTTTTAAAAAGTTTGAAAGTCAGATTATTGACGGAAATGACCGAAAAGTTACGATTGACTGTTCTGTTTCCATTTTATTACTTTATTATGTAATCGGCTAGCTTTCTCACTAAAATAGTGGGATGAAATCACTATGAGCTTCGAACGAAATGAATTATGTAGAGTTAATATTTGTTCCCATACAGTTTAATGAAGACTTGAGTATTTTTCATAAATATTGTCTATCATCGTTTATCCAGCGTGTCTGTACCGCCTCCGTGGTCGAGGGGTTAGAGTCGATGACTTCTAATCCAGGTACCTCTCTGGCGTGGGTTGGATCCCCGGGAGATGCTTTGGTAGTTTAGCGCGGAGGAAGGTAGTCTAGGACTGGTGTAGCTCTCCAGGAACGATGGTTAGGAAACTACCCGCCTATATGACTGAAATACTGTTGGAAAAAGGCGTAAAATGAAACAAACAATCAAACAAACAAACATCCAGTGTGTCTACATTTTAATACAAAGAAATTATATATGAGCCCGAAACATACATCAGACGATGATTTACTCAATTTGAAAAGCAAATGCCAAAACCTAATTAACAGCTTGGCCTTAAGGTTATAAATGTTTTGTTTTTCTTAGTTCTGTCTCAAATCAATCCCAGGATTTTCATTGGTCAGTGTATATTCTATAGCAGTTTCTGACCAATCAAATTCCTGAGATTTGAGTTTCAGCTTAAAGAATTTCTTTATAACCTCTGGCCAAGATGGGATTTTAGTCGTTTTAGATAACAGAAAGTAAAACTTTATTTATGCAGAAGAAAATCTCTAAATGGACAGCTTACTGTTCAGTTAAGGGTTTTTTGGCTGGATCCCCATCTTTTGCTGTCACAGCACTTGCTCCCGGCTCCTGTGGCTTTACTGTGGATTTGTCAGTCTCCTTCTCTGGCGCAGTTCTCGGACCTAAAATAATTGAATAATAAAACAAATTTTATATTTGATATGTGACGTCCTATATAACCACAAGTATGCTAGAGAAGTTCAGTGGGTGTAGCGCTATGTGTAAGAACCTCGAGGCCGCGCGTTCTAGTTCCCGGTGAGATACATTTTCCCTATTGTTTCGACAGCAATACTTTCCAATAAATCCGTCAAAATACACGTATAGCATTGGATGACACATAAAGTTTATGAAAGTATAGATCTTAGAGAAATCATCGAGAAACGCATTAAATATATGGTCATTATATGTGACGCGCTCAGCATTTTTAGCCCAATCATTCTGAGAGAAACGCTTACAAAGTCACAAGAGTTTTCATATGTTTATTCTAATATTTTTTTCTTTATAAAAACTGTTGTCTGCATAAAAATAAGCTAGTAAAAAGTTAAAAGAATACTTAAAAATACCTTTTAAAACAGCCCCTGTCTACTTCTGAATGATTAACATTCTGCTTACATTGAATCTATATTTAGAATATTTAAAGAGGTTTAGGGTACAAAATGTATGAAATTAAATACATTGTACCTTATCTTGATAAGTTTTTAAAAATGTGTTGCTTAAAAAAATGAGTTCTTTGTTTCTAAAAAACGATGAAAATATTTCTTAACTCTGTTTACATGTATGTAGCAACTTGTAAATGAGAGATGAGGGTTTTTTTTTAGTTTTTTTCTTTGTTGAAGCGGTTTGACGTTTACGACGTCATGTATATTGTGACGTCAGAAATTAACGTTATCACTACAGACAAACTGCGACATTACACGGAGACAACAGCTTTTAAGTTAAAGACAGAAAGAATAATATGTTATCATCTTTATAAAATGGATCAAGGTAAATGTTGTTTCATAATCGACATAATACTTTATAGTTTTATAGTTTTATTAAAAAAGATAATAATAATAAAGAAAAAACAATTTTATGGCGGTACTGGTAAATTAAACAAATTATATTTCTTTATTGACTATTTTTCTTGAATGGTGTGCTCCGAATATTGATAGTGTGCATAATGCTGGTGCTGAGGATGACAACTACTATCATCACCATCATCATCATCATCATCATCATCATCATCATCATCATCATTATTATTATTATTATTATTATTATTATTATTATTATTATTATTATTATTATTATTTTATTACATCATTTTTTCTTGTTATTTTTGTTTTATTTAGAATTCATTTATTTATTTATTTATCATTATCATCATCATGATTATTATCATTATTGTTATTATTATTATCATTATTATTATTATTATTTTATAACATCATTTATTTCTTGTTATTTTTATTTATTTATTTATTTATTTATTTATTTATTTATCTATCATCATCATAATCAAAATTACTATTATTATAATTATGATTATAATTGTAATAATTATCATTATCATTATCATTATCGTTATCGTTATTTTTATTGTTATTGACTGTAATTGTTATTGCTGTAAGATGTACTTGTAATAATCATTAACATTTTCATTTTAATCATCATCATCATCATCATCATCATCATCATCATCATCATCATCAATAACACAATTAATATCTTAGTGAAAGTTAATTGAATTGCACTGTAATTACAATAGGTGTACCATTCATGCAAAATTATATTCTGTCTATTTTACATTTCACACTTTTTCACGAAACATTTCTTTTCTTTATATTTTAGGTATTTCTAACATGGATACAAAATTCAGTACAGAATCTAAGTCATCAGAAAGATTCACAAGCATTCTTGAAGTGAGGAGGATGAAAAGGAAAGAGGAAGAAGAGGCCGACATTGAGTGGTGTCCAACTGAAAAACAAGATGAAGCTGATGTGGCAAGACGAATGGACAGTATCATTGATAAATTAAAAAGGAAATTCAAAGAAGAGAAGCAAGCTAGAAAGCAGCCAGAGGTGGTGAGCATTAAGTATAAATCATTTTGTAACAGCGTTGATGCTTTTCTCCGGCATCAAGAGTACCTTAAGGTGAGAGTTAAGTATTCAACGTCAGGGGAGGTAATGCAGTCTCATAGAGCATTGTCAGGGGAGATTATAACCACAGCAGCTGTAACACCAGATGAAATTAGTGACACTGGAAAAATTTCAGTTGACACGCCAACTGAAACTAGTCAGCTTCAAGAAGAAAACGATGAAGATAATAATAGAATAAGACAGTTGAAATATGGAGACGAAGAAGGTAACGATTTTATTCCTTCTGTACAAAGTACCTTAATTGTAAACAAGTCTAAAGTCGTCCACATTGAAGCCGCGCCTGTTTTAAAGTCAACAGTATTCCAAGAGATAACATTGAATAAGCAATTAACAGCAGCCAATGAAAGTGATATTAAGTTCGTGATGAATTCGACAAGAAAGAGTCAGAAGTTCAATGGCCACTTCATACCTTTAAAACAAAAGAAATTGAACCACGGACATTGGGTACCACAAATCTATGAACCTTGCCGAAACACTTACATAGACTTTAACAGAAAACCAGTGTATTTGAAATGTTATGAAGAGACATTCAAACCTGTTGGACTGCCTGTTTTCATGGTCAACACAAAATGTGAATTTGGTGGCCACATATGTATGCCGAAACTCCCTCTTGTAAACAAGTTTATTATGATTAAAGAAAATATATTTCTTTCTGAGGATGTACCTAGCAGAATGAAGTTACAGGCAAAGATAATGTTGAAACCATCTGTCGGCATCCAAGTATCTAGGAATTTCGGTCTAGGAAGTGTATTCAACAATGTCATAAGTTCCGATGTGGTTGAACGTACACGGAAACTAGTTGTGTTAAAAATTGCTCATTTTGAAGGGTTCTTTGGGCACTATTTTAGTCCTGTAATTCAAGTTGGAAGAGACAAAGGCACCAATGGTTTAGCACTGTCTTCGATAAATGATGACGGAAAACTAATCTTTTGTGGCGGTAAATATATCAACATAGTGCAACCTTTCATAGTAACGACAACTTTGCCGGACAAACAAGTAACAGTTGATACCGCCAAAGAAGTGTCAACGCATTTGGACACAGAAGATTCCATCAAAGAAGACAGTATTGGCCTAAAATTAAAGTCAATCAAACGTTTTGAAACACCTGAAAATTTCTCTGTTGGTACTGCTGCCCTGTCAACCGACGGCTGCGAAACTATTAAACAAGACAATGTCTGTACTGAACAACTAGAACGCATCGAAGACGACATAGATGATGAATCTCAATTTGGAATACTTTCTGTCTATTGCAGAAGTGGAATTCATTCTTGGTAGGGTATATTTTTTTAAACAAATTTTTCTCTAGTTGATATAATCTTTTTGTAAAAATAAAATAATAAGTTTTCGTGAAATAATATTTCATATATTACGGTATTACATAGCAAAATAAATCCCCTGTACTTTCCACCATTTTATTTGTGTATTTGCGGGGTTTTTCTTTTCTTTTTTATATGTACGTTTTTAATCAATCATAGCATTGAATGCAATATTATTTGCTGTAATATCAATATTCAAACTGAAATATCAAAACTAAACCGGTATTTTCATTAAATTCTCTGCTACATGTTCAACAGCATTGCTAGTTTCATCCTAGTGTTCTTTTTCTTGCATTGCAGGTAAATCCACAGACGAAGGAAAAAGTTGAACAAAATGCAAAAAATTACTTATTTTTTATATCATGATTTAAGAAATATAGTTCAACATCAAAATATACACGGATTGTTTTAAATCATCCCATTTAAACTTAAACGACCCTACGTGGTCGTGTGTCAAAATTGCCGATAACCAATCATGCACATGCCCTCCTCCTGTCAAGGTGCGATCTTAATCCTGCTAAAATAGAAAGCAGTTCTAGTCTTGTTCCTCATTTCAATCACGTTTTATTACATGCTTATGATGATGATTATGATGATGATGACGATGATGATTATGATGATATAGGCGCCACAATGATGATGATTATTATTATGTTGATGATGATATAACAGCGCCAAAATGATGATGATTATGACGATAATGATGATATAACGGCGCCAGAATGAATATGATAATTATCATGTTGATGATGATATGACAGCGTCAAAATGATGATTATGATGCTAATATTTACGTTTTCATTTTTTTTTTCCAAAACGATTAGGGGGTTTTTTTTAAATACGTTTTTAAATTTTTTCCCCCTCCCGTTTCCCGGTAGGGTTTTAAAAATGATAACAAACTTATATATTAAGTTACGCTCTGTTCCTATGCGACAACATACTATTCATATAAGATAACGCGTTGTTTCTGTACGATAACGCACTGTTTATAGAACATTACAAAATGTTCCAATACGATAACGTACTGTTCATTTAAGATTACGATCTGTTCATTACATGATAACACACGGTTAATATAAGATAATGCTTGTTTCTTATATGATAACCCGTAATTGTTTAACAAGATTACGCTTGGAGTTTTATGAACATAATTTACTGTTTACTAATCGATTATACCCTGGCCCTGTACGATAAGTTTTGTTTCATAATAAGAAACGTTCTGTTCATATTAAGATTATGATCCTGTTCTATACGAAACCCACACGTATTACTTTACTTAGATCTGTTTTTCTGGTATGATAACATACTGTTTATATAAGGTTACGCTGTGTTCCTATACGATAACATACTGTTTATATAAGATTGTGCTCTGTTCCTATACGATAGCGTTCTGTTTATATAAGATTACGCTCTGTTCCTATACGATGACGTTCTGTTCATATAAGATTACGCTCTATGTTCCCGAAAGCATTCTGTTTATATAAGATTTTACGCTCTGTTCCTATACGATTACGTTCTGTTCATATAAGATTACGCTCTGTTCCTATACGATAACGTTCTGTTCATATAAGATTACGCTCTGTTCCTATACGATTACGTTCTGTTCATATAAGATTACGCACTGTTCCTATACGATTACGTTCTGTTCATATAAGATTACGCTCTGTTCCTATACGATTACGTTCTGTTCATATAAGATTACGCTCTGTTCCTATACGATAACGTTCTGTTCATATAAGATTACGCACTGTTCCTATACGATTACGTTCTGTTCATATAAGATTATGCACTGTTCCTATACGATAACGTTCTGTTCATATAAGATTACGCTCTGTTTATACGATTACGTTCTGTTCATATAAGATTACGCTCTGTTCCTGTACGAAAGCATTCTGTTCATATAAGATTACGCTCTGTTCCTATACGATAACGTTCTGTTCATATAAGATTACGCTCTGTTCCTATAACGATGACGTTCTGTTCATATAAGATTACGCTCTATTCCTATACGAAAGCATTCTGTTTATATAAGATTATGCTCTGTTTCTATACGATAACGTTCTGTTTTCATAAAAAAGATTACGCTCTGTTCCTATACGATAACGTTCTGTTCAATATAAGATTACGCTCTGTTCCTAATACGAAAGCATTCTGTTTATATAAGATTACGCTCTGTTCCTATACGATAACGTTCTGTTCATATAAGATTACGCTCTGCTCTGTTCCTGTCCGATTACGTACTGTTCATATAAGATTACGCTCTGTTCCTATTCGATAACGTACTGTTCATATACGATAACGATCTGTTCATATACGAAAGCATTCTGTTTATATAAGATTGCGCTCTGTTCCTGTACGATAACGTTCTTTTCATTTACGATTATTTTCGATACGTTTAATTTTTGTACGACTATGTTTCTGTTTTGTAAGAATACGTTTTCTTCGTGTACGCTTATGTTCTGTTTGATTTTTAACAAATAATTTCTGACCATTTGTTCCTTTTCCTTTCAAAATGAATTTTTATATTTTTTCTATATATTTGCATTGTTCATTTTGTAAAAAAAAAATGAAAGGAATAAAACATGTTTAAACTAAACCATATACGGTTGAATTGTTCCTTTATGCGATTACGTGTACCGGGCGCGGCAATTTTTTTCTAATTCACTGACATGACATCCGTCCAATATATAACAACTGATGACATATGATGTTTAAATGTTATACGGACGCTTTAAGTGTAAAATCATGGAAAAACATCATAAAATGCATTAAACATCGCATTTATAAGTGACGCGCTCAGTATTCTTGGCCCAAATGGGTATTTTACATTTGTGAGGAAAACGCTTTTCTTTTGAAAATCGCATATTTCTAAAAAAAAATCAGCGTCATAATAAGCTAGTAAGAAGTCACGCAAAAAAAAAAATAAACATAAAAAAATTATTGTTTTTTTACAGTTATTTTTCCCCTTATTTATTTTAAATTTTTAAAATATTTTTGTAAAAGATACCGCGCTTTCCCCAAAGGGCATAAATAAAGGCTTGGTTATTTTTTCTTATCTTAAATTTTTTGTTTTTTTAAAATTAAACATTTTTTTAAAAGTTTCTAGTTTATGTAAATAATTATTTTTTTAGTTTTTTAATGTTTTTTGGGGGATTAAAAGAAAAAGGATTTTTTTTTTTTCTTTTTTGAAGGGGTTGGGGAATTTACAAAGCCCATTTTATATTGTGAGTAGAAATTAACGTTAAAACTATAAAAGGAATTTTCCCGGAGCCCAAAGGTTTTTTAATTTAAAGGACAGAAATAATAGGGTTATTTTTTAAAATAAAAGGGGAATAAAGGGGAAAATTTTGTTTAAAACCCCGGCATGATTCACTTTTATTATCTTTTTATTTTAAAAAATAGAGAAAAAAAATATGGAGGTAAAGTAAAACAAATTATGTTTCTTCAATAACTGTTTTTCTCGAATGTTGTGCTTCGTATATTAATGGTATGGTTATTATGGTGGTGATTAAATGAAGATAATGACCATTATCATCATCATCAACATCATCATCATCATCATCATCATTCTTCTTCTTATTATTATTATTATCATTATGATTATTATTATTATTATTATTATTATTATTATTATTATTATTATTATTATTATTGCTGTTAGATCTTCTATAATTTATGATCATTATCATCATCATCATCATCATCATCATCAAACAACAACACAATTAATATCTTAGTGAAAGTTGATTGAATTGCACTGTAATTACAATAGGTGTACCCATTCATGCAAAGTTATATTCTGTCTATTTTACATTTCAGACTTTTTCACGAAACATTTCTTTTCTTTATATTTAAGGTATTTTCTAACATGGATACAAAATTCAGTACAGAATCTGAAGTCATCAGAAAGATTCACAAGCATTCTTGAAGTGAGGAGGAGGAAAAAGGAAAGAGGAAGAAGAGGCCGACATTGAGTGGTGTCCGACTGAAAAACAAAATGAAGCTGATTTGCAAGACGAATGGACAGTATCATTGATAAATTAAAAAGGCAATTCAAAGAAGAGAAGCAAACTAGAAAGCAGCAAAAGATGGTGAGCATTAAGTATAAATCATTTTGTAACAGCGTTGGTGCTTTTCTTAGGCATCAAGAGTACCTTAAAGCGAGAGTTAAGTATACAGCGTCAGGGGAGGTAATGCAGTCTGATAGAGCATTGTCAGGGGAAGTTATAAACACAGCAGCTGTAACACCAGATGAAATTAGTGACACTGGAATAATTTCAGTTGAAACGCCAACTGAAACTAGTCAACTTCAAGAAGAAAACGATGAAGATGATAATAGAATAAGGCAGTTGAAATATGAAGACGAAGAAGGTTTCGATTTTGTTCCTTCTGTACAAAGTAGCTTAATTGTAAACAAGTCTAAAGTCGTCCACATTGAAGCCGCGCCTGTTTTAAAGTCAACAGTATTCCAAGAGATTACATTGAATAAGCAATTAACAGCAGCCAATGAAAGTGATATAAAGTTCGTGATGAATTCGACAAGAAAGAGTCAGAAGTTCAATGGTCACTTCATACCTTCAAAACAAAAGAAATTGAACCACGGCCATTGGGTACCACAAATCTATGCACCTTGCCGAAACACTTACATAGACTTTAACAGAAAGCCGATCTATTTGAAATGTTATGAAACGGCATTTAATCCTGTTGGACTGCCCGTTTTCATGGTCAACACAAAATGTGAATTTGGTGGCCACATATGTATGCCGAAACTCTCTCTTGTAAACAAGTTTATTATGATTAAAGAAAAGACATTTCTTTCTGGGGATGTACCCAGCAGAATGAAGTTACAGGCAAAGACAATGTTGAAACCATCTGTCGGCATCCAAGTATCTAGGAATTTCGGTCTAAGAAGAGTATTCAGCAATGTCATAAGTTCCGATGGGGCTGAACGTACAAGGAAACTAGCTGTGTTAAAAATAGCTCGTTTTGAAGGGTTCTTTGGGCACTATTTTAGTCCTGTAATTCAAGTTGGAAGAGATAAAGTCACCAATGGTTTAGCACTGCATTCGATACATGACGTCGGAGAACTAAATTTTTATGGCAGTCAATATATCAACATAGTGCAACCTTTCATAGTAACGACAACTTTGCCGGACAAACAAGTAACAATTGATCTCGACAAAGAAGTGACATCAAATTTAGACAAAATTTATTCCACCAAAGAAGACAGTATTGATCTCAAATTAAAGTCAATCAAACGTTTTGAAACACCGGAAAAAATCTCTGTTGGTACTGCTGCCATGTTAACCGACGGCTGCGAAACTAATAAACAAGACAATGTATGTACTGAACAACTAGAACGCATCGAAGACGATATGGAAGATGAATCGCAGTTTGGAATACTCTCTGTCTATTGCAGAAGTGGAATTCATTCTTGGTAGGGTATATTTTCTTAAACAATTTTTTCTTCTAGTTGAGATAATCTTTTTGTACATATACAATTGGGAAATAAGTCCATCTCGGGAAGTAATGCATTTGTACTTAATATATTGCGGCATTTTATAGAAAATTAAATTCTCTTTCATTTTTGTGTCTATGATATTTTGTTAAATGTATGACCATTTTCTAAAATATCAAAACTAAAACTGATGTGTTTATTAAAATTTTCTAAAATTGGATAATAAGTTTTCCATCTTGGGAAATACATATTATACATTTGTACTTTATTTGTAAAATATTTTAGCATTAAATAGCGAAATATAATTTCCCTGCGTTTAATACATTTGTATTTGTGTCTATGATGTTTTGTTAAATGTATTACCACTTTCTATATTATCTAAACTAGAATCGATTGGTTTATTAAGATTTTCTGTTACACCAGCAACAGCACTTTCAGTGTATCATTCTATTTTTCTCTTTTATTTCAGTTGAATCCATAGTCGAAGGCAAAGAGTTGAACAACATTGAGGAAAATATTTGGAACTTCATTTTTATCTATATTATGATTAAAAAGCTTACATTTTAACATAAAACTAAACACGAGTTGTTTATTTTATTATTCCTTTAAGACTAAAACGAGGATTCATGGTCGGGCGGTTAAAATCGCTGACTATCAATCACATGCCTACCTTCTATCTGGGTTCGAATCCCGACAAAGTCTTTGAATCCTGTCGTGTGAGAAAGCAATCTAACAAGCTAGTCTGGTTCCCGGTCGTACTTTGCTAGGTAAAAGTACGATAATGTGGTAAGGGGCAGGTAATCCAGACTATCTACCAAGCTTTCGGAAAGTCACTGGTTAATGGCTAGACCAAACAATTTCGGACCCCCAAAGGAGCTGGTCAAACATTGTTTTTTTTCCCTTAAACGGAAAAAGAAAGCAACCAAAGGAGGGTATACGGTAACCTTGTTGTTGGGTTTTTCTACATATATAAAGTGAGGATGAAGAAACAATTAATAATATTTACTTTAAATATAATAGATAAAAATAATAATAATAAGATGATATATGATGAATATACACAATAACGTTTACACAGTAACGATGTAAAAACGGAAAAAACGATGTACACGATAACGATCTAAACAATAACGATCTACACGGTAACGATAACGATATACACGATAACGATATACACAATAACGATCTACACAATAACAATAACGATATTCACGATAATGATAACGATAAACACAATAACGATAAACACAATAACGATTTACACGGTGACGATAACGATATGCATGATAACGATATACACGATAACGATATACACGATAACGACATACACGAAAACGAAATACACAATGACGATATCTATACGGTAACGATCTATACGATAACGATTTACACAATAACGATATACATAAATGATGGAAGGCACAATATGCCTCAGTAATGCATTTTTTATTTTATTTTTAGAAATGTCAATTATCATCATCATCTTCAGTAATCGCCTCACTCTTCAGAGAGCATTATCAGGTCTTTTATAATATTAAGTGCAAGTTAGATGTTTACGACTGAAAAAAAATTAGCGCTGACCATGCAGTTATGTGTTCAAAGGTAGCACAATGTAAACAAAGTAGTATTTTGACTTCCATACAAAAATACTAAGTCACTGTAATTATACCAATTGCCAACAGAACTAAATATGTAAATGATAGTTCATGTATATAGCAAATGAACATGTTTTGGAAACTATAAAAAGATACCAACAAAAACAGTTTTGAGAAATAACAATTATAGCATTTCCGAGGCATAATGGGCCTTTAAAAAAAGCATGATGAATAAAGCAATAACATACCTGACGCGTTATTTCCTTGTTGAGATGGTTGACTGCTAGAACATCCCATTTTTTCCACTGTGAACACATACCGTTTATACATTTTCTCAATGTATAACTATTTCCATTCCTTCAGGATTATATCTTTATATGTACTTACACATGAACAAGAGTTCATATAAATAACAACTAATAACAACTGTCCGTTATTGATTTTAATCGGTTAGTAACTATAGTACACCCATTTTCAATCTATAATTTTGATTTTCACCTACGATTTTAATACATTATTTAAATATTGATTTAACACTAAGATATAAGTTCATGGTCACTATATTTCAATACAAGGAAGGCATTATTTTTAAAGGTAAATAGAACATAGTTACGAGTCAGTGAATAACAATATTGGTAAACGGGTAGCTGTCAGTGTTAAAAATAGATATCGATTTCAGATGTCGATCTGTATCGCTATAGCGTTAATATTATTCAAAAGTACTTATTTAAAATTCCAACCACGGGCATAATCTTGCAATGCACACATATGTAATGATTTTTCTCGACGTCCGAAGATTGACGGAAAGGGCCGAAAAGTTTCGATTGATGTACACTTTTAAAAGCAACCGACTTTAAAGTATACACGTAAAAAGGCCTTCGATGATATAATGCATGTTAATTCTCGTCCAATTTTCCTGAAATTAGTTTCATTAGTTTACATTAGTATGTATGATAATTTGATAAATATTTTTTTTATAAATATCGTAATGCTCTACTACTCTCTTTTGTTACACCTCTTCTGTATATTTCAAAAAAGACAAAACATTGCAGCAGTTGTGGACAATGTAATTACTGTTATAATTATTATTATTATTATTATTATTATTATTATTATTATTATTATTATTATTATTATTATTATTGCTAACGAAAATGATAGTCTCCCTTGACAATGACAAATAGATTTATCGTAATAGTCTCCCTTGATAAGAGAAATCCTAAAAGGATATATATAAATGATACAAACTTATTATTTCATAGAATTTTAGTATAGTCTCCGATTTTTCAAAAGTGTTTCAACATAAATTCTAACACTATCGGAATTTTTTCTATATAGACAAAGAAGGCCGGAAGCGTGCATTATTCTACAACAACGCACTCGCCGTTCTTATTATCTCCCTGTGTATTTTCACATTGAAGGCGCCATTTTGTTTAAAAAATCTGATAAATTAAAACAATTTTTTTCGAATTTTGTTGTGAAAACTATCTAGAATGAAAGAAAATGGTCTAACTAAGAAAATTAATCCGAACACCAATATCTTTAATTCAGTCGTTAACGCTGTACAGACGTTTAAAGTGTTGTTTACGTGACGTCACAATGTAGCGCCAAACAGCACGTGCAAAACAATCAAATCAAGTTCGCTATTTAATGTCGCAAACGAGTTTTAGTTTTACATTTATTTCACTTTTAATAATTTGTATTTCGCTTGGAAAATTATAAACTGAAATAAATAAACAAACAAAGTTGTATCAACGTTTTCAAAATTCGTTATTTTCAAAATGTTTCTACAAACGGTAGATTTAACAGTTTTTTTTCAACCCACTGGAACGGCCTCTAAAGAACGTTTCTATTGGAAACTCTGAGGCGAAAACAAATTCAACCACCAAACATAAAGTCCAACGTTATAATAAAAATTATATTTTTTCTTGACGTATTAGAATGGAAATAGATATCAATTCTTCGTGCATTATTGTATAATAATGCACGTTTTTCGTTCAAATGCTTTGTAATTAATCACTCAGGCCTATCGGCCTTCGTGATTATATTACTACGCATTTGAACTCAAACCGTGCATTATTCTACAACAATGCACTCAGAATTGCTATCTATTTCCTAAATATATATCGCAGACAAAAATATTTATGCCTGACAAAGTATGTATTTTCTATAAAACGAAAAAGGCAAAATAGAAATGAAAAAAATCTATTTATAATAAAACATTTCTCCGTGGTAATTTTTTCTTCTTTTTCCTGATAACCTTCAAAATGACTAAACAACCACAAAACTATTTATTAAGCAAGTAATCATTACAATGTTAGCCACAATATACAATTGACCTTGAATAAAAACTATCAAACCAAAAAAAATATTTCAGAAAATGGTACTTCATAAATTTCACTTTCTCTTTTTTCATCATTTTGATGCTATAAACATTTGTAAAATGTTTAATGAAATAAAATCTATTGTCATTGTCAACTTAATCTTTCTCAAGTATCATTTAAAACAATAATTGCACTAATTGCCCTAAACGTGAAAAACTTTTACTCAAATCATGACTGATTCTCAAAGACTCAATCACCACAAATTAAGATTTCCGAAATATGTAATTATTATTAATTAAATTGTAGTTTTAATTAAAAGCTGATATAGACGAGACGGTATTAATTACAAAAAATTGATTTGGAGTATAATTTCTCGAAAGTGGAATTTAATTTGAATCTGTTTCCTATAAAGCAGAATTTCTCCCTTCTTTAAAATCATACGACTAACTCGAATATTTAGAAGACATTTACCACCTGATAAAAAAAAACAACCTCAGGTATAATCTTTTATTTAAAAAATTCTTTATTGAGTAAAGATAGATTTTATATATATATTCAGCCAAGAAAATGCATGACATATATGAAAAAAAAATCAATTCAAATAATAAAAAGAAAACATGCAAAATAGGGGAAAATACAGAAAGACATCGAAATAAATACTTTATTCCTCTGTACTTACTTGTGCTTATTTGAATACGATATAAGCACATGTCTGTGCGGGGAAATAGTTTATTCTCGGCGAAAGGAAGAAATGCAGAAAAACAGCAAAATGAATATTTAACTCCTCTAAACTTACTTGTGCTTATTTGAATATAATTTAAGGACATGTCTGTGCTGGTAAATAACATATTCAAATGTACAACGGAGGTAAGAAAAACAGAAAGACATCGAAATGAATACTTTATTCCTCTTAACTAACTTGTGCTTATTGGAATATGATATAAGCACATGTCTGTGCAGGGGAATAGTCTATTCTAAACTGCAACGGAGATAAGAAGTACAGAAAGACATTGAAATGAGTACTTTATTCCCCTGAACTTACTTGTGCTTATTTGTATATGGTATAAGCACATGTCTGTGAGGGGAAATAATATATTTCAAAGTGCAACTAAAGAATGAAGTACAGAAAGTCATTGAAATGAATACTTTATTCCCGGAACTTACTTGTGTTCATTTGATTATGGTATAAGAACAAGCTCGTGCGGGAAAATAATATATTCGAAAGTAAAACGGAGGTATGAAAAAAAGAAAGATATCACAATGAATAGTTAATTTCTCTGAACTTACTTCTGCTTGTTTGAATATGATATGAGCACATGTCCTTGCGGGGAAATAGTCATTTCTAAACTACATCAGAGATAAGAAATACAGAAAAACATCGAAATGAATACTTTACTCCTCTGTACTTACTTGTGCTTATCTGAATATGATATAAGCCTATGTCTGTGCGGGGAAATAGTCTTTTCTAAACTGTAAAGGAGATAGGAAGTACGAAAAGACATCGAAATGAGAACTTTATTTCTCTGTATACTTACTTGTGCTTATTTAAAAATGATATAAACACATGTCTGTGCGGGGGAGAAGCCTATTCTTAAGTTAAACGGAGGAAAGAAATACAAAATGACATCCAAATGAATACTTTATTCCCTTGTACTTACTTGTGCTTATTTTAATAGTCTGTTCGGGGAAATAGTCTTTTCTAAACTGCAACAGAGATAGGAAGTACAGAAAGACATTGAAATGAATATTTTATTCCTCTGCCCTTACTTGTGCTTATTTGAATATGATATGAGCACATGTCTGTGCGGGGGAATAGTCTTTTCTAAACTGCAACGGAGATAGGAAGTACAGAAAGTCATCGAAATGAATACTTTATACCTCTGTACTTACTTGTGCTTATTTGAATATGATATGAACACATGTCTGTGCGGGGGAATAGTCTTTTCTGAACTGAAACGGAGATAGAAAGTACAGAAAGACATCGAAATAAATACATTATTCCTCTTATTCCGCTGATTTTACTGGTGCTAATTTGAATCTGATTAATAGTCTATTCGGGCAAATAGTCTTTTCTAAACTGCAACGGAGAAAGGAAGTACAGAAAGACATTGAAATGAATACTTTATTCCTCTGCCCTTACTTGTGCTTATTTGAATATGATATAAGCACATGTCTGTGCGGGGGAATAGTCTTTTCTAAACTACAACGGAGATAGGAAGAACAGAAAGTCATCGAAATGAATACTTCATTCCTCTGTCCTTACTTGTGCTTATTTGAATATGATATAAGCACATGTCTGTGCGGGGAAATAGTCTATTTTCACAAATGTAATGAAAGAAAGATAAACAGAAAAACAGAAAATACAGAGAGACATCGAAATGAATACTTCATTCTTTGTACTTACTTGTGCTTATTTAAAAATGATATAAGCACATGTCTGTGCGGGGGAAAAGCATGTAGTCTCAAATGCAACGGAGGAAAATAATAAAAAACGACATCGAAATGAATACTTTATTCCTCTGTACTTACTTTAGCTTATTCAAATATGATATAGGCACATATCTGTTCGGGGGAATAGTCTTTTCTAAACTGCAACGGAGATAAGAAATACAGAAATACGTTGAAATGAATACTTTATTCCTCTGTACTTACTTGTGCTTATTTGAATATGATATAAGCACATGTCTGTGCGGGGGAATAGTCTATCTAAACTTCAACGGAGATAAAAAGTATAGAAAGACATCGAAATGAATACTTTATTCCTCTGTACTTACCTGTGCTTGTTTGAATTTGTTATGAGCACATGTCTGTGTGCGGGGAAATAGTCTATTTTCACTACTGTTACGGAAGAAAGATATACAGAAATACAGAAGACATCGAAATAAATACTTTATGCCTCTGTACTTACTTGTGCATATTTGAATATGATATGAGCACATGCCTATGCAGGGGAGAAGCCTATTTTTACAACTGTAACGGAAGAAAGATATACAGAAATACAGAAAGACATCAAAATAAATACTTTATTCCTCTGTACTTACTTGTGCTTATTTAAATATGATATAAGCACATGTCTGTGCGGGGGAGAATCCTATTTTTAAGTGTAACGGAAGTAAGAAATACAAAATGACATCGAAATGAATACTTTATTCCTCTGTACTTACTTGTACTTATTTGAATATGATATGAGCACATGTCTGTGCGGGGAAATAGTCTATTTTCACAACTGTAACGGAAGAAAGATATACAGAAATACAGAAAATACAGAAAAACATCGAAATGAATACTTTATTCCTCTGTACTTACTTGTGCTTATTTGAAA